ATTTTGTATGTTCTGTTTTTTACTTTGGCTGTTCACCGCCCTGAGTCCTATTTGGAGAAGGGCGGTATAGAAATAGGAACAAATAAAATAAATAAATAATTGATTTATATTAAAGTGTTGAATTTGTATTAAACAACTGTATTACATAATTAACTAATGTGAGGATGGATATAAAAAGATGATGACAATGCGAAGGGGTATAATATAGAATAGAAGGGAAAAATTGAACTTGATTAAGATTAGAGTTGAGGATGAAGGGTAATATTGTTTTTTTTAAAAAATAGATGAGGAATAAATATGGTAAAAGGAAATATAGAAATTGTAAATTTAATTGAAATGACTAAATACTGTGTTGGAAGAAATATCCTTCTGGGTTCTGCTCCAAGTGGGGAAAAAGACACTGGAAACATGGAGACTGCTTGGAAAGATGTTTTAATGGTGGACAGGATCACATGGCTTGATGGGGCCCATTGTGTTAGTTTCTGTTGCTATTGTGTTGCAAATGTCCTTTGACAAAGGATTGACTTTCTGCCTCTGGCCCATTAACAAAGGGTGGGGGGCAGGAAGGTGGGAGCTGCTTTGTCTGTAAAATATGCTTCTCCATTTCTCATCCAGGGAAATATAATATTCTGCCTTTTTAATATTTCCCAAAATATTTCATTCTTCTAGGAAAGGGGTGGGTGCTAACCTCCTACAACTGTTTAAATTTGTGAACCGGCAAATACTCTGTTCAAAGAAAATACGTTGTATGTTTGTATGTGTGTTTCTAATTATTGTTATTTATTCCTATTTGTTCTCTTTTATTCTTTAAAGTTTAACAATTCATTCTTTATCTTAATATCTTAATATTTGTTTGTTTGTTTGGGGTTGGCTTTCTTCCCTTTCATCTTTTTTATTGTACAGCAATCTTTCTCCTCAAACCTACCACCTCTGTCTTTTCTTTCTTACTTACTTTCTCTTCCCCCTCTTCTTCTTCTCCCTACTTCCTCTTTCTCCTTCTCCTCCTCTCTTCCTCCCTCTCTTACCTTCACTCCTCCTCCAATTTCCTTCCCTTCCTTCATCCCTCTCTATTGCTGTATCCTTTTATGCATATGGACTACTCAGAGGGCTGAAAAAGTTATTTTTGACTGGTCCTCGCACTTTTGACCAGTCCTCGAACTTACGACTGTCCTCACAATTTATGTTTTTGCCCCATCTTGTCACCATGGTGAAGAGAAGCAGTTGTGAAATGAGTGACACAGTTGTTAAGAATGGTACAATGGGCATAAATGATGACCAGTCATAACTGCGAAGACCAGTCAAAAGTGCGAGGACCTGTCAGAAATCACATTTTCAGCCCTCTGGGTAGTCCTTTTGTACACAGGGGACTACTCAGAGGGCTGAAAAAGTTATTTTTGACTGGTCCTCGCACTTTTGACCAGTCGTCGAATTTACGACTGTCCTCACATTTTACGTTTTTTGCCCTATCTTATACCATGTTGAAGAGAAGCAGTTGTGAAATGAGTGACATGGTTGTTAAGAATGCTGCACAGGCATTAATGTGAGGATGGTCATAAGTGTGAGGACCAGTCAAAAGTGCGAGGACCTGTCAGAAATGACTTTTTTCAGCCCTCTGAGTAGTCCCTATACACATAGCCATGGCCATCCGGTCACATTACCAGCTAGCCACGCCCACCCAGTCACATGACCTCCAAGCCACACCCATAAAATAAGCCACGCCCACAGAACTGCTAGTAAAAAAAAATTAGAACCCACTCCTGGTTGGGGGTCACCACAACATGAGGAACTGTATTAAAGGGTCGCGGCATTAGGAAGGTTGAGAACCACTGTGCTAAGCAAATGTTATAATGGCTGCATATTAAGAGCCAGTTTGGTATAGTGGTTAAGATGTTGGCCTAGAAACCAGGACACTGTGAGTTCTAGTTTCAGTTTAGGCATGAAAAAACCCAGCTGATCGGTCACTTTCTTTCAGCTCAACTCATTTCACAGAGTTGTTGTTGTGGAGAAAATAGGAGAAGGATTGATATCTTCCCTGCCTTGACTGACATATAAAGTAATAAAGGCAGAATAAAAATATAAAACAGAGATAAATTTGCAACACTGTTGCTTAGATTAGTTGTAGAAGTTCTAGAATGATAACCCATTGATTCAGTTGAGGAAGCATTCCTGAATCTGGGAAGCAGCAATCAAATTATAGAGGTTGGACTCTAGAACAAAATAACTCTTTGCAAGTGAATAGGACAGCAACTTTTGAAGCAGGAAAAACTTTATTTTGAAACTGGTGTAGGAATATGCACCATGAAATTGCTTTTGTAGCAAGCGAGAAGTATCTATAGCAGTGATTGTATCATGCGCACACGTGTGCCGACACCCATAATGCAATGCCCCCCTCAGGCCCCGACCCCGCGCATGTGCGTGTGACCCTCCCGCACCCCCCTGCACATGCGTGCACAACCCCAATTTTGGTGCTAGCAGGCCTCCCTGAAGCCTCCTGGAACCAAAAATGGGGCATGGGGGGTGCTGCACCCCCCACCCCCAACACATGTGTGTGCAACCCCTGGCAGAGATCCAAAAATTAGCTGGCCAGCAGGAAGCGTGCGGGCATGAGCTGTGGAGTTGACCTGGGCGTTGGCTCGCATGCCCGCAGAGATGGTTCCATGTGCCACCTGTGGCACGCATGCCATAGGTTCACCATCACGGGTCTATAGGAAACATTGTTCGTTCATGCCACTCCAAAATTGTGATGGGGTAATTGGCAATGCTCTTTTGTATACTTTCTTGAATTGCTTAGTGATTGGGTGGCTTTAGATATAAAATGAATATATTTTCTTAAAAAAGAAAAATCCATTGAGGAATTCTTTTCTGGATTCTCTTTGGGAGAGGACATCCCCCACCTAGATCAACTAATTTTAAATCCAATCTTTTCCAACTTAACCCTCTGAAATTTGGTTCAGTTCAATTTTCAGAGAGTTATCCTACTGATAAGGGCCCTTATACATATTTTTTCCCAAATTTATGTTGGGTTGGAAGACGTCAAAATGATACTAACATAAAACAGAATCAATGTACATTTTGCATTTCTATTTCATCGGTATTTATTTCTATACAGTTGCTTGGCCACTGTTCTGCACATATGAGTGTTGTGTTACTTTTCCCTTTTTTACCTTCTGATCCAATGAGGGGGTGAGCTAAAACCCTGATACAATGGGAGAAATTCTCTATTAACTTGTTTCTCGTGCAAAGATATACAGCACACAATGAATACAAAAAAGCTCTCAAAATCAATCTCTTTTTAAAAGCAGAATTTAACTATGTATCTGTCTTTTCTATAGCAACCAGAGCACAAGGGCAGTCTGAACATGTGGCCTTTTATTTGATCAAGGATAATAATCAACTAAGCTGAGAGGACAGGAAGCAGATCTCCTTGTGCCAATAGTTTAGTAGAATAAGTCCTTCTGGTATATTCAGTTGTCTCTTGCAGGGTTATTCTAAAATACTATTGTATTTGTGAAATACCCTGCATTTTAATATATAACAGTTAATATATATATAACAGTTAATATATAACAGTTTATAAAATAATATTATATATCCTAATGTCTTTATTTTGGATTAAATAGGAACTATATTTTGCTCTATGCTTCTTCTGAGATTTAATCTTTGTTGTGTCAGTTCTATATTTGATAACTGGTAAATGTCTCATCTCATATCTGGATGTTGAGCACATTGTGGAACCTGAAATGTATTCATATACAGCTAAGAATGAGTATAAATATGTTTCTAATATATTTTGTGCATCCTCGCAATTTTGCAATTTCTTAGATATGGTAAATGTACCAGACATAGAAGCAAGCTCAGTATGCAAAGTTGGTATTTCCTTTATCATGTGAAAGAGAGGCTGAACCAATCAGAGAATGGCAAAAGGACAAATGAGGTTGTGACTCAATTACCGGTAATACTTGAAATGAGATTTTTAATCCATAAGATTAGACAATATAAATTTCATTTTGGGGATTTGAAAAACTGGTCTTGTAAACATTTCTGTAGGAGGTAGAACACATAGATTTGACAACCTGGCAAACAGAATCGCAAATTCTGCAACTCAAATAAATAAAAAGAACATATGTCTATTAACTAGGGCTTTTTTGATTTTATAAAACTGAAAGTATATACAAGACAAAAAAAGCACTGCTTTTAATAAATAGAGAGAAGTGGATTTTGAAAAAAACAGTTCACAAGTATATTCCTTTTACTTGTTCAGAGGTTGGGGAATATGGATTGGGTGCTAAAGCAAATAAGACTCATGAGGTTTAAAATTTTGAAAAAAGAAAAAAAAAAGACAACTTGCCATTGAATATTCTGTAGGACAATATCCACAGCAATGCCAAGTCCATTGGCATACAATCCTCTTGAAGAGTGCTTAGAAATAGTAGAAAAACCCTAACCCTTCATAGAAATCTGAGAAATTCCTAAATTCTGCCATAAAATTATTTTATATAGACAGAAACAAAAGTTCAATTCGACAATCGTTTGATTGTCAAATTCACTCATAATGCAGAGGGGGAGGAGGAAAGGAGGGGAGGGAGGGAGGGAGGGGGAAGGAGGGAGGGAGGGAGAGAGTGGGAGAGAGAGAGAGAGAGAGACAGAGAGAGAGAGAGACAGAGAGAGAGAGAGAGAGAGAGAGAGAGACAGAGATTCCACATATCTTCTCCTGGGTGCAAATTGACCCATTTATATATTGAATTTTTAAGGCTCTGCTGAACTCATGGCAGTTCTACAAGTAAGAAGACTGTAACACATTAAAAACACATTTATAAACAAAAAGATATACATGAAACCTTCCACAGGTAAATATTCATAACGATAATTTTGTGGTGTGTTAAGTAATAATAAGATGACTTTATTGTACAAACTTGGGTTTTACTGTTAGGTAAGAGTAAGTTGTAGTGCTAATGTCAAATTAATGAAGCTGCTACTCTGAAATTTTGGCACTTTTTAAAAAAAAATGTGTGTCTTTACAACAATAAGAGTGTTGGGTAAATAATAGTGGAGAGCTGTTGATACCAAAATCATATCTTCTATTCCAAAATCCATTCAAAGCAATGTCCTATGAAGTATCCAGAGAGAAATTCAATCTGTTTTGAATCTTTTTGACTAAGGTATCCTGGCTAAGAGAGGAAGTGAAACATCCTGACCAAGAGAGGAAGTGAAACATCCTGACCAAGAGAGGAAGTGAAAAGGGGCAAAATGTGGGTAATATATGGGGTAACAATAAAATGAAATCATGAAATCACAGTGAAGCACACGTATTTTGATTAGAAGGCCGATCTAACAAGGAAAGTTCTAAAAACTAGCAGATTGGGAGAACTACGGTTGCCATGTCCATAAACAACCATAGATCGCAAAAAATTAGAATAATATAACATAAAATAAAGTACACATAGGTAGTTACCCAGGATCCTTACATCATCACATCATCATCATACATCATCATCATTGTTATTACTATTATTATGCCTATTTGTAATTAATTATTACTATAGTTTTCTTAGCAATATTTTTTTGGAAATGGTTTGCCACTCTCCTCTCCTTAAGGCATGATACTTGGAGAACTATTCAATGAAACAGGATAATTCAGATAGGATGGGAAGAAGGGTAATGGTTGTTGTTTGGGAGCAAAATCACAAAATATGCTTTGTCGTAGTATTGTGAAATGATTTTGGATAGGCTTTCTTAGTTTGGTGGCTTCAAAATCTGCCAAACGACGTCCTAAATCCTTCCCAGGCAGGTTAAAGTTGTTTAATATTCCTGTCCATCTAAAATTGATTTTATATTCCTGTCCATCCGGATGGTGCTGGGCTGGGAAAAACTCACCAAATGTATAATGAAAGTGCCTCTATGTTTCTAAGTCTGGGGTAGATACCGCTGTCAGGTGCACCTGTGCCATCCAAAGAGTTTCCAGAATGTAGGTTGCATATCAAAGAGAGAAGAAAACAAAATTGTGATGAGAGAAAGAGAAATTATTGGTTTTGCTGGAAGAATGAAACACTGTTTAATTACTGTTTTAAACTGCAATGAGGGGAAAGACAGACATTCTCTAAATGTGCATTTAAACCCAGTCAGCAATAAGAAGAGACACATTTTTTAAAAAAACCACTGTGCAAGTATATTCTCATTTACATATAAGAAATAATTTGCACTCCGACTCAGAAGTAGTCCAATATTATTTAACTGTAAAAACTTTCTGGATGCTCTTCAAAAACAAATTTGTAAAACTTTCCTGATGAAAAACGTTGTTAGGTTGAAGAAGTAAGTGAGAACTAAAAATCAGGTTCCTCCAGCAGCAGTTCCCATGAAGACAATATTAATCGGTGGTAAGGATGACACCATCTCATTGTTAGCTTGTCCAGAAGAGTCCATTGGTTCCTGAGAAGGGCACTGACGAGAATGGCCATACATGCATTCAGAGGAACTTGTAGGCAGAGCAGACAGCATTTCTGAAGCTACAAAGAAAATGACAAGTTATTCTTTGTGGTGCTTCTAAAAATTAAAAAAAGGAAAAGATTCCAGAGCTTTAAATACATTCTAGTAAGATCATCCTCCAATCTGGATTTCATTTCTTAAACCTGATATATCAAGATTTACATTAATTATGCACTAAATTGAGGAATGTAATCTAATACAGATAGTCCACAACTTGCAATCACGATTGAGCCCAAAATTTATGTTAAGTGAGACATTTGTTAAGTGAGTTTTGTCCCATTTTACAGCCTTTCTATCCAGAATTAAGTGAATCTGGCTTCCCCATTGACTTTGCTTTTCAACAGATTGCAGAAGGTGATCATGTGACTTTGGGACACAATGCAATGGTCATAAGTATGAGTCAATTGCCAAGCGTCTGAATTTTGATACACATATTCATGGGGATACCACAAAGGTTGTAACTGTGAAAAATGGTCATAAGTCCCTTTTTTCAGTGCCGTTGTAACTTGGAACGGTCATTAAATGAACTGTTGTAAGTTGAGGACTACCTATAACAGTTTTAATAATTCCCAAGTCAGCTGCTTTGGTTTTTTGTTTTTTTTTTGAAACAGGAAAATCTGTTTGTGTGTAATCATCTCAGAGAGTACAAATAAGCAAAGGGATCATCATTATGTGTCACTAACTTTCCTGGTGTGAGCCCATGTATAAAAGTATTGTTTCTTTGTTCTGCAGCCACCACTAAGGCAGATTCTGTGAGGCCAGAATCTGAAAATAACATTTAACACTGCACAATACTTAAGCAAAATGGTTCGGTTGAGATCGGCATTTGTGGGACTGATTGGGGTAGATTGTAGGGGTGATATCAAAATAGAATTTTATCATATTTTATTTATCTCTCTATTAAATTATTGTATTTTATTCCAATTTCATTTTAAACTATTTTATTCCAATTTCATTTTAAATCGTATTTTATTTCAATTTCATTTTAAATTGTTTTTATCAGATTTTAGTAATAATTTGTGTCTGGAACTCTGCGCTTTGATATGACCCAAGGGCTAATCAATCAAGTAAACTAAAACTAAACTGAATACCCTTAGCTTTTTTATTCTTCAGCTTAATAGTTAAGGAATTATTAGGTGTCTTTGGCTACTGTGTGGAGTTGGTTAACCAACTCAGTTCGTCTGCCTTTCACATTCATCCTAGGCACAGATTCAAAAGAAGAGGGCATCCATGCCACACCAATCCTTTTTAGTTTTACTTACTTATAGAGTTCTGGCCAGCGATTGAGGCATCTGGATAATAAGATGTTCCCTGTTTCCTTCCTGTATCTTCTAGGATGCAAAGTGAATCATGAATGTCACTGTATGGAGGCAACGGGCGAATGCTGCTTACGCTGCTGATGACAGAAACGTGCTGATCTACCAATGACTCAAATCTGTGGGAATCTGAATAGTTTGTATTATTTCCATAGAACCCTGTTAACAGGAGGTTGACAATCAGTGAGTAAACATCTAGAACAACAGACAATATTGTATAAGTACATACACTGTAAATCTTAGGTTTTTAAAAAAAATAAAGCTTAAATTATTAAATCCATTTAATATTTTTTTTTAAAAAAAAATAAAGAAGTTAAACTTTCATGTTGCATGTGTCCCTATATTGCTATATATATGGGACAAATGCTCTTCCAGCTAAAGATGTAATCATTCTTATATTTATATAATAGTTATGTTTCTTACATTTGTAGATAAGGTATATTATATAAATGTTTTATATTTATATATGTACATGTATTTCATAATCTAATCTAATCTAATTTAATCTAATAGATAATATTCTTATATTTTGATATTAGAAGAAATGAGGATTTACAGAATTCAGATAATTAGGTTTTCTAGCAGAAAGGAATTGCCATGATGTATCATTTGGGAAAGATTTTAATTACAGCATCCACCATATCAATCAGGAGATATTTGGCAACAATTTGAACCTTAAATATTAAAGTCATGGCTAACAAAATCAAGTTTTTAATCCACTTCATGCAGTGGATGTAAAGTTGGAAAACAGAAGATACAAAAACCAACCACACTGATGGACGCTGACTGTGGATTATAGAGATGCAATTCTTCAGGAAGACCCAGAATGGGGAGAATATTTTAGATGCTCTCATGAAACAGTTTTTCTGGCTTAACTATGTGTACATCTAAATAATATTAGAATGATCAACTACACGGCAAATTATTGCGAATGTGATTATTACAAACAATAAACTGAAATATTCACTATCAAATGTGATGAATACATACTCTACTACAGGTAATCTTTGTTTAATAACTACTCATTCAGCAACCATTTAACATTGTCATGGTGCTGATTGACGAGGACTTAATTTCATAGTTGTGGCTATTGCAACATCCTGCAGAACTACTGTTATCTGCTGGCTAGATTTTCACACAAACCCCTGAGATGGATCCATGAACTCTTATTCTTTTCTCAACTTTTATCATATCTCTGTGTTAATTGCTCACTAAATGGGTGAATTTAAAAATATGTGTGCATGCTGACACAAAGTTAAGATCCACATCGGGGGTGGGTTCTAACATTTTTTACTACCGGTTCTGTGGGTGTGGCTTATTTTGTGGGCGTGGTTTGATGGTCATGTGACAATTCTTTAGGATTTAGCAGAGGTACTGGTCTACCAAGCTTTTAACTGCTTGCAGAGCTGTACCAGTCTACCCATTTGTTTTTGGAGGCACCGGTCTACTCATTTGTTTTTGGAGGCACCGGTCTACCAGGCACCGGTCTACCCATTTGTTTTTGGGGGCATCGGTCTACTCATTTGTTTTTGGAGGCACTGGTCTACCACCACACTGCCTTTTAACACTGATCAGCTGTAGGGTGGCCCTTTGAAGTCCCGTGGCAAGAGTTTAAACAGTTTTTTTTCCTTCTAGCCGATCAACTGGGGCTCGGGAGGCAGCGAATAGATTGGGGCGGGGCCAAATAAAAGGTAAGAGTAACGCGGTGGCGGGCAGCTCCCGAACAAAGAGAACCGGTTCGGTGATGTCATATAGTCACCGCTACCCACTCGGTGGAACCGGGCCGAACCGGGAGGAACCCACCACTGATCCACATATGAACTAGTTCAAGGACTACAAGGACACTAGACTAAATTGTAGAGCAAAGACAATAAAGTAAATTCTGAAAAGGATCAATACCATTAGAAGCAGCTGTGGAATATGCTGATCCTTGACAAGAACTTGCTGTGGTGTTGTTCACAAAACTACAACTCCCATTGTTCAAAAATTGCATACAATGTGTGTCCTGTGCGGCTGAAGAGGCTCCATAGAGAGGAAGGGAACGGGCACTATATGAAGACACAGCACAGCTGCTATTGAAGTAGTCCCGGGAGAAACGTTGCTGCTCATTGGCTGCTGGACAAAGGCTAGATTCTGCCCTCTGGGGACAGGATCCTGAAGGTGGATGAGTCTGGGCCCTGAACATGGCTGGGTAACTGGCACCGGCTCCATAGAAGTTCTGATTCGTTTGTGGCACCGTCTGGTAGAGGTATTCAGAATAAGAAGAGCAGTGCGAGTGTGCAGATAAAGACGGGCCTACACTGGATGGTCTGGCAGCCATCGGTCCCTGGTTGATAACACTTCCTCGGCTGACCATGGCTGGAGAAATGGGTGGAGTGATAAGGTGGGCAGTGCTCTGAGAGAGGTCGGTCTGACCTGAGAAAACAAACAGATTTTTTTTTTATAGCCAGACAGTAAGCAATAGTCATGGGTGTCCAAGTGTTCTTCTTCTGCGATGCCTTTTGGCAACTTAAAAAAGAGCAAGCATCTCCTTTGTTTCCTACCTGTGGGTTGCATATTCTCATTGTCTCCTGCAGGGCATGGGTTCAGACTGGATGATAAGCTACTATGATGACCGGATGATAAAGAGAAATAGGTTTGCTCCATCAGGCATTCGTTTTTCACTGAGGCATCACTAGCAATTGGAGCAGCCTTGTTGCGGTTTGCTAGGAAACAAGAACTGGGGGATGCTGTAAAGGTGGCTTTGCTGGCATCTGAGAAAATAACAAAGGTTTAGTTGTATGAAACATAGACCAGGAAACAAGATAGAATTCCATCGTCTGCATCTGCAGCATACCATGCCAAAAGGCTGATTTGTGCATGGCGATCACTGTGCAAACGCTGCCATTACATACTCGCATCTTGACATATTACACAAAGGATGTAAGTTGCAGCAATTTGCATGGTGATGTTGTCACGCAGGATTCATTCTTTACTTTCCCTTGGAAAATAAAATATTCCCTAAATATTGGATACCCACGCAGGCAGATACGATATTTGGCATCAATAATACTGGATGCAGTGGTGGGTTGCTACCGGTTCATCCCAGATTGGGCAAACCGGCAGCGGGAGCAGCAGGAGGCTCCGCCCACTCACCCAGACACTTCTGCACATGTGCAGAAGCGTTGAGTGTGCGTGCCACCACGAGCAGACCAGTAGCTTTGAAGACACTCCTATTCCAGCAGGCCGGCCTGGCCTAATTTTCTCCACTTCTTTTAAATTTTTAAATTGAAATTTTAAATTTGTTTTAAATTATTGGGAATTTTAATTGTCTCGGGCAAAATTATTTAATTTGGTTTTAATTATGTTTTTTAACTTTTGTATTTATGTGTTTTATTTTGTGCCTGTTCACCACCCTGAGTCCTTCGGGAGTAGGGCGGTATACAAATTTAATAAAATGAAAATGAAAAATAAAATAGCAATGGGTTTTGAAATCTGCCCCTGACTGGATGGATAAGGCAGCCTTCCTTAATTTACAGCCCTCCAGATGTCTTGACTTGCAAAGGATGGAAGCTGATATCTGGCATCCTGGGCAGCACTAATTTAGTGAGGGCTGTTTTAGGAGACTGTACTGTATTAATTCTATTGTAATTTAGAAAGTAGTGACAGTGACTTTCACCTAAAGAAATATGCCATATAAACCATATAGAATAGAAATGCATCCAGGTCATTTTAGGAATGAGACTAAGTGATTACTGTAATAACAGATCTGTTAAACAGTGTCAATTATTAAGGTGCTGTATATGTTTAAACATTGCAATAACAAAGATTGTAATGAAGATGCCATTTAATACATGATTAGCACAGATATCAAGCCTAGAATGTATTGCAGATTGTACTTCTAGCTATTAGAAAATGCTATTTCTTTTTAAGAAAGGCTTTAAAAATCCTTTGAAAAATAAAGGAATAAACTAGTTTTATTTTGTAGGTTTTTAAGAAGAGATTGGACAACCATTTGTCTGAAATAGTATACGGATTCCTGCCTGAGCAGGGGATTGGACTAGAAAACCTTCAAAGTCCCTTCCAACTCTGTTATTCTGTTCTGTTCTGTACTTTTTAAGTATTTTTCTTCAACAATCTGCATTGGACATTTATTAGCTTGAATCACATTGATATGTAAATTGCTGATTCTGGTCTATTAATTATGTAATAGTTTGGGCCAAATACTAAAACATACAGAATTTGAAAGCATTTTCTTTAGGTTATTATATGAAAAATAAATTTTCCTCCCTTGCATGAAACGAAGTCAAAACTTCATTTGAAGGAATAATAAAAGTTTTTGTAGTGATTTATTGAAGAGGAGAAATTCATTGGAGTTTGGATAATTTGGATTTTAACATTTTAATTATATCTAAATAATAATAGTACAATCCAAAAATATTGATTCAACAGTGCCTGCCATTGAATTTAGACAGATTTACTTTGTAAAAAATATTTGGAATATTATTAAATGCTCACATGAATTTAGAATGAATTGTCTAGAAATGTAAAGAAATAAGCATAACAGTGTTACGTTAATTATCCCTCTATAGACCAACATGTAAGTGTATCCAAATATTCACTCAATTTAGGCATCTGTCCACCTAACATTAGACAAACAGGCACACCCCATTGGACTTCAGATCCCTAAAGATTGCAAACTGCCAATTCCAGTTACCTAGATTCTTCATATATTTGTCCAATAAATTCTGAAGTTCTTGTTCTTTATCATTGTGGAATTGGGTCTCCATCGCAAGCAGGATGTATTCATCTAAAAGCATGCGGATGAGATGAAATGAACCTGCCACAGGAAGAAAAGTGAAGAGATGGTGCATAACCTTATCTTGCTGACCATCTCTCAACACTGCACAAGGAGCAAGTGAAACAAACAAATAATTGCTGGACTTTCAGTGACCTACTAAGACCAACAAAGCACGGTGCTTAACTCCTTACCCTAATCTTGCTTGATGCTGGCCCACCTCACTCAATATATTTACTGTCCTGCAAGTTATTTGACCACCGATGACATCAAAGTACGACACTGATGAAAGTGAGACATGCTTTATACTTGAACAGAGCTACATTAGAACATGATAACACTGAATCCATGCACGGATATGGATTTGCTGCATTTTCCTAATGTCAAAAAACTAAAAAGAAACTGACAGAATCTTGATGGCCTATTTGTAATGTATAAGGAACTCTAAAGGAATAATGTTGTTATACATATGGCAGAATATCATCTTCTCTATTAAACATCTAGCGTTTGCATAACTCTCCCATCCAACAATCGTATCTATTGTGAGAATCAGGTCTCTTTTCATAAAAAGATGAAGATTTGGATGGCAGTGGGGATGAATTCATGTTCTGTTTATGACAGAGAAGTCATACTTATCCCTGCCACATGATAAACCACTTCTGTGAATGAAGATGTGACAAGAAAGTATGTGATTCAAAGGAAGAAGAAAATAAATATGCATGGGAATCAATAGCTATTTTTACAGGGAATGCACATTTATTATTATTATTATTATTTTATTTTAGGAGCTGCAGGTTGCATAGTTGTTGATGTCATTGGACTTTTTAATTTTGTAGGGCTTGAGGAAGGGATTTACAGGAAAAAGGTGTCTTAAGACTTCAAATAAGTTTATACACCTATTTTAAAGAATAAAGGTTTTTAGAAGGTAGGGGAAGCAAACCATGTGGCTTCCAACTCCTTTACCATCAGCAATCAAAGGAAAGGCTGTATTCTTTTTTCTGGTTAACAAACCAATGTTTTGTTTTTCAGCCCTCTCTTCTTGTGCACGAGTATATTTTTGTGTAGATATGTGCACTGGGAAACAAAGGGGAAGTTGCATATAATCTATAGGAATGTTTCTCAGTCTTAGCAACTTTTAAGATGTTTTGACTTCAGTTCAAAGGTGGAGTGATGGAGGAGAATGCTGAAATTAGCTAAAATAAACTATGCTGGAAATTAGCAAAATAATAATTGGAGGTATAGAGGAGAATACATTGAAGAATAATTATTAATAAGGGGTGAAAAAGAAAATGTTGGGCAATAATTAAAATGAAATGAAAAACTTTGAGATGTCTGTGTAAAAGTTTAAGATTAAAAGATTGGATGAATTGGGTCTAGAAAATGAGAAAAATAGAAAGAAATTTTGATTAATAAATTGAAATAAAAATTGAGTTGTATATATTTGGAAATTAAGATTCGTGGTGATAAAATTGTAAGGTAAATATATAGATTAACAGATTAGACTGTTTTTGTGTTTAATGTTAATGTTAAAAGGAGCAATGGAGAAAAATTTAGACAGAGCGGTATTGAATTTTGATTTATCATTGAATTTATAATTGAATATAAAAATGAGCTTTGTTTTAATAGGAAATTAAGATGTATGATAAGATAATAGAAAGACTTAAATTATGTCTTGTTGTTGGAATTTATGTTAAAAATATCTGTCTTCATTTGTAAAACTAGTCTCCCTATTTGTGACCGGACCAAGACTTCGTTCTTGGGGGGGGGGGGGAATTATGTTTATGTTTGAAAAAATGAAAAAAAAAATACAAAAAAAAAAAGATGTTTTGACTTCAGTTCCCAGATTCCAGCCATTTGAAATCTAGATAATCTTAAAATTGCTAAGATTGAGATACACTGGCCTATAAGGTCATATGATGCAAAGGGAGGGACGAAAGGAGCTTAGAATGGAAATATTCCCAACAATTTGAGGGCTGCCCAACTTCGTCCCCCATTTGGATGCAGGGGAAAGATTTTCCAGAATGTTTTCTCTACAGACCCCATCAGACCCAGTCCATTTTTTAACTTAATCCTTTTTCTTTTTCTTCTTTTTTTTTTGCCAGTTCCTTGACAGTTTACTGCTCGCACAGTCCTGATCCAGTTTATAGGATTTCTTTCCAACATTCTGAATAACTAAAAGAATAACTTTTAGATGTTTCTGTGCTTGACACTGTGGCTGCCTCTAATTAAACTACTTATGCCAGTCTGATGGCCATTTGGCATTTATGATAAAAGTAAAGGTAAAAGTTCCCCTCGCACATATGTGCTAGTCGTTCCTGACTCTAGGGGGCGGTGCTCATCTCCGTTTCAAAGCTGAAGAGCCAGCGCTGTCCAAAGACGTCTCCATGGTCATGTGGCCGGCATGATTAAATGCCAAAGGTGCACGGAACACTGTTATCTTCCCACCAAAGGTGGCCCCTATTTTTCTACTTGCATTTTTACGTGCTTTTGAACTGCTAGGTTGGCAGAAGTTGGGACAAGTAACGGGAGCTCACCCTGTTATGCAGCAGTAGGATTTGAACCGCTGAACTGCCGGCCTTTCGATCAGCAAGCTCAGTGTCTTAGCCACTGAGCCACTGCTTCCCATAGACATTTATGATACTTTATCTAATTATGCCACTGTATCAGAAACACAGGAATTGAGACATGATGTGAAATAATTTCCTTTGAATGCAAGCACAGATCACTTATTGAATGAAAGAGATTTACTTTACTGTTCTGGAGGTGGCATGCACTGATTTAAAACTTTTTTATTTTTTTTGTTTTTCCTGAAAAAAAAAAGAGGTTTAACAGAACTTTGTTGAAGCTGAAAGGTGATACTACTAACTTATCAGAAGAGAGCCTGTCCTGTGACTTAATAAGAATAGAATCATCATCTGGAATATTCCTTAAACAAACAAAAGAATTGGAGAAAAATTAAATACCAAAACTGGACGCATTGTTCAAAGTGAGATTATGCATTACTCGAGCTCCAAAGAAGCTCCACTTGAGAAGGAAATCTTGGGCTCTCTTCTTTAGAGACCGACCATTCTGCTTGCTTGCCTAAAAGGAGAAAACATTGTTTTTGAATCTTTTATATTTTAGAACAGAGCAGATTCCACATTCCTGTCATTGCGTTAACATTTCCTGAGATCAGTTCCAGTGGTGGGATTCAAATTTTTTTACTACCGGTTCTGTGGGTGTGGCTTGGTGGGCATAGCATGGCATGGCTTGGTGGGCATGGCAGGGGAAGGATACTGTAAGATCTCCATTCCCACCCTAGTCCAGGGGAAGGATACTGTAAAATCTCCATTCCCTCCCCACTCCAGGGGAAGGTTATTGCAAAATCCCCATTTCCTCCCAATCAGCTGGGACTCAAGTGACAGAGAATAGATGGGGGCAGGGCCAGTCAGAGGAGGTATTTACTGGTTCTCTGAACTACTCAAAATTTCCGCTACCGGTTCTCCAGAACTTGCTGAATACCTCCTCTGATCAGTTCACTTGTCTTTTTCCTATGATGGCCTCCCTAGAAAACCACATACTGACTAATGAAAAATAGTGTGTTTGCATAAAGAGATATTCACACCAAATTCATAGCCACCTCCCTCCATGAATAGGCTATTTAGGAGTGGGAGTGAAACACTTTTACCTCAATGATGCGAAAACAGTGTACCACTGGGCTTATTTAAAAAACCAAAAGCTCAGAGAAAAGTAAATAGCTCAGGGAAAGAAAAATAGCAGTGACAACTAGGTGGTACAGAGAAGCCCTGAGTCTTCAAGCCAACAGATACCTATAGAATGTATTAAGCAATCAGGAATTTGAAACTAAATTTCCTACCCCAAAGGAATCCTCAAAATATGTTAAAACCCAAAATATGGGTTTTTAAATTTTATAATTGGTTAGATAAGAGGAAGAATGCCAAAAACAAGGGATAACAAGTGTCTGGAAATGTATATATCAATGTATATTAATATATCAATGTATATTGAACTTCTGAATGTAATATTGGTTTATTAAATACATGCATAGTTGGTTAGGAAGTAAAATACTGTATACTTGATATATAATGAAGTAGGAGATATATAAATTTGTATATAGAGCAAGGAATAGATTACTTATTAACTTGATTTTGACGTAAACATTAGAAACCAGAGATGTTGAGCCCATTGTTTTACTTTTAAAACTAATAAAATAATAGTAATAATAATAATAAATATGGGTTGGGATCTTACTGAGTTCACAAGCAATTTAGAGGAGTTGCTTTTAAAACACTTTGCCTCAGGCATAATAAGAGAGCTGTGACTTTTTGAGTAATGTAATGTTAAATAAATGGATTGGCTTTCTGCCTGCTTCCTTTTGTTAGCAATGGAACAACAACTTGATGAATCAAACAATAGGGCTATTATTTCTATTATATAACTTTATTTTGTTTAATACCTCTTGTAAATATCTGTGTGTCTCCAGCAGCTCTGTCACAGGGTACATGATAGCATATTTGGAATGTCTATGTGTGTTGAAGAAATTCAATATTTTGAAGTCTAGGGAGGGGGGTGGGGGGGAAGGAGGGAAAGGGGTGGGTGGGAAAGGGGAGGGAGGGGTTGAGGGGGGAAGGGTGGGGGGGTGAAAATGTTTGTATTTTCTACAAAACTTTTTAATAAAAAAAAAGAAATTCAATATTTTAATCTGGTATTTTGCATTTCAAACCCTTTGCAATGGACGGTAAGAAAAAAAAAGCTTAAAATGACCCACAAGAAGTACTGATAAAGGTTGGCAGTCTACTTGTTATAAAGAGCAAATGCTGATAAAAAAAATGTGGAACAAGAAATGAAAGTGGTTGCTTCAAAATGAAATGAGATATAAGGAATTATCCAAAAGTAAGCAAACCCATTTTTCTCTCCCATTAATAAATGGGGCTTTGTATTTGATTTTTTTAAAAAAATTCAATATGTGTAGAATCTACCTTTTCTGGCTAGAAAATTTCTATGATGATCTTTCATACTCTCTGACAAGGAAGAAAAAAAACATGGAATTTACTGGCATGGAGTTCAGGGATATAAGTTCAGGAGTCAGAAACTGCATTCTCAACTATGAACTATACCTTGGGGAAAGAATAGGGAGCTGATATTTAATTAAACAATGGAAGTTCAAAATCTTTTGTGGGAAGAATATACAAAGACTAAGTAAGTCCTCGCAGTGAATACTACCGTGAGAAGGAGAGAGGTTAAAGCTCGCTTATAGGAAGAAAACAAGCAAAGAACCTAATACCGAGTCACAACTGTTGCAATAAAATAATACTAAGTTTGCCGGTCAAAAAGTAGAATTGTTAGTCTGCAGGAAGGCAAGGCTTTATCACAACGTATTGGGAACAAAATGTGCTTTAACTCTGTATTTCCTGAAAATCTCATAAAACCTGAATGCCATAGATGCAAGAAATCAACATTTGTATCCGTACCCAGTACATTTTTAGCTTCCCTCTTGTGATTGTAGGCTTCCAAGAGGCCAAACTCCCTCCCCTTTTTCATCATCTGGAACCTTACACATCCTCTAGAGCAGGGGTCTCCAACCTTGGCAACTTTAAGACTTGTGGACTTGTGAGCTTCTCTGGCTGGAGAATTCTGAGAGTTGAAGTCCACAAGTCTTAAAGTTGCCAAGGTTGGAGACCCCTGCTCTAGAGCAGCTTTTCCCAACCTGATGCCCTTCATCTGTATCAGAGAAAAGCTCCCAGAATTCTCAGTCACATTCTAAGCCAGCCCATCTGGAAAATACCAGGTTGAGGAAGGACATTCTGAGGCTTCCATAGTTTAAAACCCTAACTTGGAATCAGCCAGTTGACAAGAAGGTAGAAAGAAGAGGCTGGGTTTTTCCCTTCTGAAGCATCTGAAGGTACATCTACCAGTTGTATGATCCTGCATCTCAGGTTTGCATTGCAACCCATTACACCTCACTATATAACATGCACATATTGATTATTTCAATATCAACCATTAGAGAAAGGCCTGATCAGGATCAGGACATAAGTGGGTGTGAAGTTTTTCAAATGATTGCTCTATATACTTTAATCCTTTGAAAATTCCTACCACCACTTATTGCTATTAATGAAGGATGAAAGACTGAATTGGTATCCATAGAAGTATGGATACTTTAACAATATACTTGCATTGTGAATATGCTATATCTACTTGTTAAATTTTACTCTTCTACCTCTTCTATTATCTTCCTAGATTTAACATTAAATGGAAACTCAAAATTGGATAGGAGAGCCAATAGGTTTAGGTTATTCAGTATGGCTTGGTACTAAATTGTTGTTATTGTTAGTTGCGAAGTCGTGTCTGACCCATCGCGATCCCATGGAGAACTTTCCTCCAGGCCTTCCTGTCCTCTACCATCCCCTGGAGACCATTTAAGTTCACGCCAACTGCTTCAGTGTCTCCATCCAGCCACCTCATTCTCTTCCATCCCCTTCTTCTTTTGCCCTCAATCATTCCCAGCATTAGGTTAGTACTAAATATAAACAGTTAATCAAGTATCATACAGCTGAAGATTAAATCAGTGAATAGTCTGATTGCAGATATATTAAAAAGATAGCAGTGATCATGACAAGGCTTCCATTGGTTTATCTGACAGAGTGCATGTATTAGAGATTCTCTTTTAGATCTCCAATCAATCTGGTAGGACTAAAGACAGACCCTTCCAATTGTAGGCTCATCTTCTCTACCCCAAAGTTTGTATGCAATGTCCCACTCATCTCGGGGGACATAAATGGATCTTAAATCTTTATTTGATTAAAGTGCTGTGTTGAGTTTTAAACTCCTTCAAACTACTGGTTTATAAAAAATGTTTTTGCACTTGTAAATATGTTTTGTGTGTAACCCAAAACCCTTCATAAAAATAGTTTATAAGCCATTTATGACCGGGTTTTACCCTGAAAAGCAGTATATACCCATTTCACGTGGTTAAATAGGATCAAACAGTGTTCACATGCTCATTTTGGATAATCCTCTAGCACTGAGTAAGACATCAGAGTTCAGCTGTTTGTGGTGAAGTTATAAAGTGCCACTTTCGCAAACAGCAAATAAAAGAAGCCATTTGGTATGATGGAGAGGCCCTATTCTTTTTCACCAAACAGAAGGCCGAGGGCAATGGAAGGATTATGTGCTCTGTAAATCATTACCTCTTACTCTCTAATCTTGATTCATATAGTAAATTGTTCAGTACTTTTTTCCCAGATGTGGCTGGAAAACACTGAATATTGTATATGTTTATTCTAGAACAATGTTCCATGACAGATATTAATTGATGGGCAATTTTCCTCCACTGGTTTTTAAAATAATGGATATTTAAAGTTTAACTAAGCAAACCTGGGAATATAATTTTATTATCTGATTATTATTCTTTTGGTAGAATGATAGAAGTTGTGTGAAAGTAGCAATTATTTTATGAGTGGGATATGACAGACAGTGCCGCTTCTTTCCGCACTGTTACATCTCTGTCCATCATCCTTTAGCCTCTCTATATGCTTTATAAGAAAAAGTTCAATAAGAAGAATTAAATATTCATCCCATTGATACATGGGAAATGAGATAGGCTACAGGTTGCTAAAGGAGAAAGCATAGGCACTTGTAGTTCCTTTGTAAGTAATATAAATGCAAGATTAATTTACATTTGTTCTCTTTTTTCTCCAACTCAAAAGGATTATATTACGCATAAATAGTTTGAAAGATATATATATATATAATACTAGATGAATTGATATACATCTGAATCACTATGGAAATACACCCTCGCTATCACAGCAATAAAGCAAATCTGAACATTCATATTTAATTTGGGGACCAAGGATGCTTTTCATCTTTAGGTAGCATTCTTAGGGCTACTCTTTATAAAGTGGGGGGCACCAAGCCAGAAGAAAAAAAAATACATGAGGCCCAGTCCAAAAATCCTAGGCTTGATTTAAATGACTTTAAATGTAAAATTAATATTAAACTAATCCAAATACTGCTAATACGATGTACTTAATATTTTTCCCCATTCTGTAAAATATACAAAGTGGTGGAAATTTTGGGAGATGTTCTGAAATCAGGCTTTGGAGGATTTTATGAAGGCCTGGAAAGTGCAACTATTCACAATTGGATAAAAAAGATTTCGTAAGAAGAAAGAATGTTGATCCAAAAGGCAAGACCTAGAAAATCAGATTATAAACAAGCACCATTGGAAGCCATTTATTTTCAGTTTTAATCTTACCTTAATAACTCTTTGCTCAATTACGGTATCCAGCCATTCAATAAACGATTCCACAGTAGCATTCTTCTTTAAGAGGTCCTTCAATTCTTGGAACACTGTAATAGAGTCATCTACTATGTAAAAAGGAAAATATGTGATTGTGTTCTTCTCTGAACAGGAGAGGAAGCCACTCACCCGTCATTATTAGTTTTGTAGCATGTAAAGGAAAGAAAAAGGGAGAATTAGAGCAATGAAGGAAAAACAAGAAGAGAGAAAATATGGGAGATTTCTTGAGTTCATCAAACTAACTGCTGAGCTTATTTCCCAGGGAAATTTTATGTGATTAGGAAGGTTTTGCATTTATTCAAAATTGAGAGTTCTATCTATCAATCAAGCCAGTTCTATTGTACATTCAAATTTTGTATCATAGAACTTGTTCGGATTACTGTATGCATTTCCTTTTACAAAAACATTTTGTCCCACTATACATACTCATAGCATTCTTCTTTGGAGAGCTCATGCATGAAAGACTGAGTTCTCAGTTAATGGGATTATACTGTCTCTATTGCACATACCAAAATTCAGATCCTAGCTGCCTGTTGCACACAGATGCATGTTAACCAAACCAAAAAGCCAATGAGTGAGGGAAATTATAGCAGAGAGATGGCAGAGTAGAAGAAAATTAAGCTTTCTTTTACCCTTCCAATGTTATGCTTACTCATCCCATCAGAATGGAGAAAAAGAGCTACTAAGATTTATCTGTCAGGATTTGGATATAATATGTAGCTAAGCCTTAAGGAATACGGGTGCATATATTATCATTACAATTATATTTGCCATTTAATATTATTATGGCTAATAAAGAACTAATTCAAGAACTTGCAGGGTATGCCATGGGATGGATACAGAAACTTTGATGTCCCATCAACCATCACTATCTATAAAGATAAGAGAGGGAATTTAGAGAATCCAAAATGCCAAGAATCTTTCTTTACTGAACAGTCAAGAAAACAAAGAACACCACACTGGGTACAAAAATTGGAAAGTAATTTGTAATCTGAATTTTGTTTTAGTAGTTTTTAATCTAATAAATTTTTAGAAGCTATACTTATTTAAGAAAAATCAAGCCACATTAAATATTTCCTAAGCAAATATCTAAATTATTGAAATCAGTCTAAGTTTAATGTCCTGAGTCAATGATGTTTTATAGCTACTGTACTTTGGTATACTTAAAACATATTTAACAAAAACCCCTATGTCCTATTGGTGAAACTGCTTTAATTATCATTACAGGAAAGCACAATTCCTCCTTCAATCTATGGTTCCCCATGGAGAACTTTCTCAGAATCGGGTCTAAAGATTGGCAGATTTTTCAGAGCATTTGAAATTGACATAGAGGAGCAAAAAGCCCTATTGTGTGAATAAGGTTACATTTGCATGTTCTTCAGTTCATGCAAACCAGTAGCAATACAATTATATCTGTCTTGACGTAGTAGTGGGATTAAGCAATGTTTGAACCTCTATGTATTAATTAACTTTGCCTATCTCACAGCAGTGAGAAATTTATTTAATCAGTTTTTTTTAAAAAAGGAAGAACAAAAAAAGTAATCTTGGTCAATTAAATAAGGAAACAAAAAAAGGAATCCAACAAAAACATTTGAAATCTTCCTTATGTGATGAATTATTTTCGGGTCACACACAAAATGAGAGAGTACAGCCAGATCTTAATAAAAATATAAAGAAATAATCACTGGAGAAATATACACGTTGATAAATTATTTCACAATATATGTGTGTGAAGTAGCTATGCAGAAGAGGAAAGGAAGGAAGAAGGGACTAAGATTTCAAATAACATACACAAGAATTGATTACAGGCAGTCCTCGATTGACAAGTCTGTTTAGTGACCGTTCGAAGTTACAACAGCACTGAAAAAAAAGTGACTTATGACTGTTTTTCAGACTTAGAACCATTGCAGCATCCCCATGGTCACATGATCAAACTTCAGATGCTTAGCAACTTGATATATTCATGACAGTTGCAGTGTCCCGGGGCAGGGCTGGGTTCTACTTACCTTTACTACCGGTTCACAACGGGGCCGTGCGTGCGCGCTCTTCTACGCATGAGCAGAAGCTTCTGCACATGCCCAGAAGCATTTTGATGACGTTGGGGTAGGTGGGCGGAGCCTCCCGCCGGCTTTACTACCGGTTCTATAGAACCGGTGCAAACCGGGAGCAACCCACCACTGTCCTGGGGTCATGGGATCCCATTTTGCGACCTTCTGACAAGCAAAGTCAGTGGGGAAGCCAGATTCACTTAACAACTGTGGCAAGAAAGGTCATAAAATGGGGCAAAATTCACTTAACAAATGTCTCCCTTAGTAACAGAAACTTTTGGGCTCAATTGTGGTCATAAGTTGTATATACTTTCCAATGGATATGTCCTGTTTTATGAATTTTAATATTTTAACACTTTTGGGCTACTTTTTAATCCAAATGTTAAATTATGGGAAATTTTAGGGTCAAAGAGAGTTCCTTGCAGGCAGTGGAAAAGTTGATCTAAAGCTGCTTATGCCATTGAATTGAATTGGGAATCTCCTGTGATCAGGGAATTTCGGTAGTCAATTGAACATTTCTGTAGAGAAGTCCATGTTGACATATGTGTGAAGCCAGCTTTGTTTTAAATTGGCTTCTAATGCAAAACATTTCATATATAGGGAGTGTAAGGTAAGTTCAAGCGTGCATTTCAGTTTTACAGAATAGAACAGGGGTGACAAAGTCAATTTCATTTAGGGCCGCATCAGGGTTGTGTTTAACTTTGGGGGGCCAGGGTGGGTGTGGCCAGCTCAACGTCAGTTGTGTTGGGGGAACCTGTAGTGGTGCAAGCATTCTGCAAGCAAAAATGGGCTCCTGAGCTCCGTTTTCAGCTGTGATGGCCTCCTGCAACCCTCTGCCAGGGAAAACAGAGCTCGGGAGGGCCGCATACAGCTCTCCCGAGCTCCGTTTTTGCTGGCAGAGGCACCACGGACTAGTCCCGCCCATTTCCAGGGCAGCCCTGCAGCTCTAAGCACCCGATGGGCCGAATCCAGTCCCCGGGCCTTGAGTTTGACACCTCTGAAATAGAATGAAAATCCTAGGACAGGTTGAGAAACACAATCCTTTCGGATGTAAGCAGAAGCTTACATTCAGTGTAGCCCTCCGCCTCAGAGTCCAGACTCCCTGAAATTGTGAGAAGTGCCTGAGATCCAATGCCATACAGATCAACCTTTTCAATATCAGTAACCATGGCGTTCACTATATGTTGATCAAAGAGAGCAGGCCGTGCAATCTGTGAAGACAAAACAGAGGAAAAATCCTGAATGTCTGTTGATGGCGTAGCAGTGGCATAGCACAGCTACATTTTCAAAATTATTCATGATCAAATATGATTATTTTGCTACTTAAATATTAATATTATGCAATGTAATTTAATGGAATTAATAACTTGCTAAAATTGCGATCAGATTGGTAACTAAATTTTAGCTGCCTCAACAGCAAATACAGGGAGTCCTCGACTTACGACCACAACTGTGCCCAAAGTTTCTGTTGCTAAGTGAGTGAATTTTGCCCCATTTTACGATCTTTCTTGCCATGGTTGTTATGTGAATCATTGTAGTTGTCAAGTTAGTGACCCAGTTGTTAAGTGACTCTAACTTCTCCATTGATTTTGCTCGTCAGAAGATTTGCAAAAGGTAATCACATGATCCCAGGATACTGTGACCATCGTAAATATAAGTCAGTTGCCAAGCATCTGAATTTTGATCACATGACCATGGGGATACTACAATGATCATAAGTGTAAAAAATGGCCATAAGTCACTTTTTTCCGTGCCATTGTAACTTTAATTGGTCACTAAACGAATTGTTGTAAATCGAGGATTATCCGTATGGGAGCCAGTTTCGTGTAATAGTTAAGGCCGTGGTGGCACAGTACTGCAGGCTACTGTTGCTGACCACTGGCTGCCTGCAGTTTGGAAGTTCGATTCTTACCAGGCTCAAGGTCGACGGTAAAAAATGAGGACCCAAATTGCTGGGGGCAATATGCTGACTCTAAAGCACGGTGAAGCAGTATATAAGTCTAAGTGCTATTGCTACTGTTATTACTAAGCCACCAGGCTAGAAACCAGGTGATTGTGTGTTCTGTTCTGCCTTATGTAAGAAGCTATCTGGGTGACTTTGAGTCAGTCACTCCCTCTCTGCTTTAGGAAGGAGGCAAGGGAATTAAGGAGAAAGTTCCTAACAGTGAGGACAACCAGTGGAACAGCTTGCCTTCAGAAGCTGTGGGTGGGTCATCCCTGGAGGTTTTTAAGAAGAGATGGGACAGCCACTTGTTGAAATGGGATAGGATCAGGGGTGGTATTCACTTACCTTCACTATTGGTTCACAAATGTGAACATGCGCAGAGCGTCAAAAACGGGACGTGATGACGTCTGGGCAGGTGGGCGGAGGTTCCAGCAGCTGCCGCTACTGGTTCGCCAAACCCGATAGAACTGACTGAATACCGCCACTGGATAGGATCTCCTGCTCGAGCATGGGGTTGGACTAAAACAGCAGTCACCATGGAACACTGGTGGTCCGCGAGAAAATTTTGGTGGTACGCAGAAAAATTATTTGCATTTTTTATATTGCACTAAATCAGGAGTCCTCAAACTACAGCCCCTGGGACAGATATGTGCAATGAATGTTTGTGTTGCAACCCCTTCGGGGTTTTTTTTTTTTTTTTGTGGGTCGGAGGGGGACAGAATTCCGACTTGGGTCTGCTTCAGCCACCTGGTGCAGGGCTATGGCCAAAGGCTGGAGGGATGTGTCGCTGGTGGCAAAGAGCCGGAGGGCCTTGTTCCAGGGGGACTGCATCATGGCCTGGAACTGGCTGACCATCTCAGCTTGCTGAGCCTCCAAGCACCGGTACCTGGCCTTGCACTCCCACAGGTCTTCCTTCTGCTTGGAAAGGCTATGTAGTCCTCAGTGAGGTACTTCTACTGAGCCTCATTCTCGGTCAGATACAATTTGAACTGAGCTGTTTTTCCAACTCTTTCTCGTGGTGGCTGCTTAGCTCCAACAACTTCTTCTTGTTGTGGCTCTAAGGAGCCCAGGTGGGGAGGCGAGGAGTGGCTGAGAGGTTAGGGGCAAGTAGAGACTGGTGAGGTGCCTCTCGATGTGACATTGAGGTGGCCATGCCCACTCAGTCACATGACCACTTAGCCACGCCCACCCAGCGGTCATTAGGCAGATCATATTAGTGGTCCACGGGATTTAAAATTATGAATTTAGTGGTCCCTGAGGTCTGAAAGGTTGGTGACCCCTGGACTAGAAGACCTCCAAGGTCCCTTCCAGTTTTATTCTGATTCTGATTCAGGGACATGTACAGGGGTGAAATGCTACCAGTTTGCACCAGTTCAGGCGAACCGATAGCGGCGGCGGCACATGGTTTGGTGAACTGGTAGCGGCGGCAGCACGAAGCTCCGCCCACCCACCCAGATGTCGTTACTTCCTGGTTAAAACCTGTTTTTGACCCTCTACGCATGTGCATAAGGCTTTGTGCATGCGCAGAGGTTCCAAAATTGCACATGATGTGCACACACGGAGCACACACTTCCGAACCGGTAGGGAAGGTAAGTAGATTTCACCCCTGGACATGTATTTCTCTCTCTCCTCTTATTTAAAAAAAGGCTACTTTGCAGTACATATGCAGCATACTTTCACTGTAATTCTAGTAGTAATTTCTGCACATACTTGAGTACATACGGTACATCCTGAATTTACAAAATACCGTAAATGCTGTGCCCTTCATTACTTTAGCTCTACCTGGGCTAAGTGCAAAAAGGAGGTCTGACGCTTCAGGGAAGATACAAATCTCCGTCCAATCGGTAATTTCTTTGCTGCAAGTTCTTCTGGTAGATTTTCTAATGCAGAAATAATCCAGTGTTCCCAGTTTTTAGCAAAATTTCTTATATCAGCCAATATTCTGAAATAAAAATAAAGAGTTTGGAATCTAGCCCTACAGAATGACATGGGTATGTTCATGTTATATGATTAAAAAAATATTAACAGCTTCGTCCAGAAAAGTGATGGCCCAACACAAATCAGACTTTACAGTCTGAATTTAATAGGAAAATTACATGGCCAGAACCAGAAAACTAGATGTACAATAAGACAAGGAACAAGGATTTCCACTTATGGCATACATCCAGTGGTGGGTTACCCCCGCTTCGGACCGGTTCGTAAGAACTGGTAGTAAAACCGATGTGAGGCCCCACCCACCGCCCCGGATGTCATCATCAGCAATCTGTGCATGGTTCTGCACATGTGCAGAAGCAAGGAGCGCGTGGACGGATCCCATTGCGAACCGGTAGTAAAGGTAAGTAGAACCCACCCCTGCATACATCATTATAACAAGTTGTGCCAATGCCATTGTACCAACTTTAATTTCCACTGTCTGACTTATCCCAGAATTACAGCAATAGATTTTGACTGGATAAATAGGCTATTACCACTTCAATCCCTTCCAATCTAAACCTTTGAAGTATTTTATAATACTTAATTCTACAACAGAACTTTAAAAAATAGAGGCAGAAAGTATCATCTTCCTAATAAAACAGGGTTCAAATGAGGGTAAACTATTGGACCATTGTAGCTGGCTCATGATAAGAAGTAGATTGGCACTCCCAACACAACAGAACTATTGCTTATCTATCTGCTGCTACCGGTACGTGCAACCTATGTAGGGAAGCAAGGGAAATTTTGAAGAAACTCTGATATGTGGATGGTGGGATTTCAACAACAGATAGCCTTTATAGGTGCCCATTTAGAATAGTTTTTAGTAAAGAAAAATGGACTCAAGCTTCATAAATTAATATGAACTTCTGGGGAACTGAAGTCTAAATGAAAATAAGAGGTTTATTAAGTACAACTATTAATTCTTTCGTAGTCCACTTTGAACTTTGATGATTTTGAATTGTCATCAAATAAGTGCCCATTTCACACAAACTTATCAATAAATATTTCTCTACTATACATAATGGTCAAAACATTATTGTCAAGTTAAATAATGAACCTGTTCTTGCAGACATTTCATTATCAAATTAAGTAGCATCATCAATGCTAGGTGCAAGAATAAGAGATGTACCTTAATTTATTTTCTAAAAGTCAGAAATAAAAAACCAATCTTAACTCTATAAAAAAATAATAATCCATATTTTGGAAAACAAAGCCCTTTTCTCCAGTGAATGGCCTTCTTAAAAGGAATTCTTCCATATATAACTGCCCAGGTTCAGGTAGCAGTTTCTGAGATAGTTAGGCTTATACCATTTAAACCGAAGATCTGATATTTGCTGTATTTCAAAAAACAAAAAATATTATTCTGATTTCAACTATCATAATGTTGATTTTATGTTTTCAACAAGTTTACCTACAGCGCTACCTACCCTTCTGGCATTTCTTGCATAGTTGCGGGGATGAGTACATCTATAAGGACCTTGAATACAGAAGGAGGAAAATTAATATCAATGCTATATAATATAATGCTATCAAGTGCATGGAATCAGGCTAACAGGCCTTGCTATTACTTTGTTGCAAATAAAAAAATCACTGCATTGCAAATAAGAATGTATTAATTGATGACTCTTCTTGTGTTATCATACACATGACTTTTTGCTTAGTACAGGATCTGGCAAAAGATACTGTAAAGGTAAAGGTTCCCCTCGCACATATGTGCTAGTTGTTCCCGACTCTAGGGGGCGGTGTTCATCTCCGCTTCAAAGCCGAAGAGCCAACGCTGTCCCAAGACATCTCCATGGTCATGTGACCAGCATGACTAAATGCCAAAGGCACACAGAACGCTGTTACCTTCCCACCAAAAGTGGTCCCTATTTTTCTACTTGCATTTTTTATATGCTTTTGAACTGCTAGGTTGGCAGAAGCTGGGACAAGTAACGGGAGTTCACCCCGTTACGCGGCAGTAGGGATTCAAACTGCTGAACTGCCGACCTTTCAATCGACAAGCTCAGTGTCTTAGCCACTGAGCCATCGCGTCCCTTAAAGATACAGTATTTAGCTGAATTCTTCACTTCCCTGCTCATACTGGCTCATAGATGGTAGACTGCATGGTGTTCCCTCAATAACATGAGGCCCTTGGTAGAAGTGCACGTATGTGCATGTATGGGATAGAGCAGCAAACTGTCAGATATAAATTCCAAATTGGTCTTGAGCTGCTGGAAATAGTAAGGTATGTTGTGACCTATTAGGAGGCCATCTACTAGCCCAAGTTATCTATTACATGAGGCTCTTCCTGTCAGGAAAATTGACATGCATCCAAATGGGTACAGTTTAAAGAATCAATTGTCTTCCTGAATCATTTCAAGGAACTTGGGGAAAATTATCAACACAACAAAGTACTGGGAATGCTTTCCTCGTTAACTACTTATTAAACCAGAGGCGGCTTCAAATGCATCTTGGGCAGTTTTCATCACTTTCTTTAGTGGCATGTGGAGACATAGATGAGGCCAGGGCAAAAACAAAACTGGATTTAATAAAACCACTGTATGCTTTATTTTAATTTTTTCTGTATGATTATTTTCTCATTATTTAATAATTCCTCCCACAGCTACTCTAAATCAAACAATTTAGCTGTGACATTATTATAATGTATGTGCTGCCATACAAAAATTTACATATTATAGATGGCTTATAAATAGCGTATTAAAACCAGCACATGTTAGAAAAAGTTCCATATATAAATAAATGTACTTCTTTTTTGCTTTTGAAAAACAAGCATAGGACATTTTATGGATTTATATAACGTGTGAAGGCATCTATCACTGAATGTACCAGATACAGACACTGACCTAAAAATCCCTAACAATGTGCCTATTTCCTATATATAGGATCTTGTCTGTTTCTTTACTTGTTTGATTCTGTTTGGTCACCCACTCCTGTTGTCTGAAGCTATCAGTGGTGTCTGCAGCAAATCATGATTACACAATTAAAGACGGTTGCATATTTTCCTGCCTGCCCTCCTTGCCTAACCCACTAAAGCAGTCCAGGCTAACTTTTCCATATCAGTAAGAATCTGGTTTGCAAAGAAACATCTGTCATTGTGACAGAAGGCAACAGACCTTATAGAGTATTGAGTCGCAAACACAGAAGATGTCAAGGATAATTGCATTTTCAAGCAGGGGAAGAAGATGCTCTGGCATTCCTTGCCAGAAATGTAGTAGGAAATGTTGAATCTAGGAAGGAGACATAAGACAGTAAATATGAGTGAGATTTCTGGCCACGCTCCTCATATTAAGAACAGATTAGCATAGATCTATAGATCTTACCTCTTCAAAGTTTCCATTAATGGCATTGTCAAGGACACATTGACAGTGAGTTTTGTACATCATGATAAGGGTATCCACCTATTTTAGGAATTAAAAATTAAAACAATGTAACATTAAACAAAATCTTTGTATCTCCTTCAGGAATATCTTCTGTAACATTTTGCGTTTGGAAGGGAGGATAGATTGCAGATGATTGAAAATTAAAAGAATAATGATGAACTTAGTCATAGAAAGACCATTAATCTATTTCTAGCTATGACACTTTGACACTTTGATAGGATAGGACTTTAAACAATCAAATTCATTGTCCCAATCTTGCTTATCCATACTTCAAGCAACATCCTTCCTCAGAGGAGTTCCAACTTAACTAGGACACTTTCCATTGTTATCTAGTTATTGCCAAATAACTACTGTTCCACTTTTTGCTTATGGAATTCAGTCTTCATAAAACAGAGGACTACAAATGTTGCCATTTGTCGACATTCAGTTTCTTTCCCAGGATTGTGACCAATCAAATCTCTTTTTTGGGTAAGGACGTTTGATGTAGACTAGGGGTGTCAAACTGCTGGCCCACGGGCTGTATGCATCACACACAGGCCACGCCCACCCCATCATCTTGATGATTATTGTCAACAGCATTTCTTTCATGCTAAATGTGTCTATGCAGATTAGATAATAATAAGTAACAGAGTTAGAAGGGATCTTGGAGGTCATCTAGTCCCTGCTCACGCAAGAGACCTATACTAGGGATTCGAACCATCGAACTGCCGACCTTTCTGATTGACAAGCTCAGCGTCTTAGCCACTGAGCCACCTAGTTAGGCATCTAATTTAAAAATTAGGTGTGTACTTTACATGAGATGCACACTTAGACTGCCCTAACATGGGTATTACACTGTATTTGGAAATTAAATCTAATCAGTGTATGTATTTTTATTACTTAAACTTATCATGCATATCACCTAGAGAATTATATTTGTAAAACAAGAATAAAACACTCTGCGTTACTTTCAGTGGGATATGAGCAGAATAAAGGTCTTGAAAAGCCACACCTAAGATACATTCCAATATGATACAGATTTTCTTAAACAGAAAAGTGGCTACATTTTAGGGACCTTCCTTCAGATGGAAGATACTGGAAGATGCCTTTAATGGTTCATGTACTCTATGTCCTGGTGACCAAGCTTACTAATGAATATGTTTTCCTCCATAGTACGTATTATAGAGATGATTCAAGTGCTCTTATTCCTCAAGCCACTCCTCAAAAGGATACCAGACTGTTCTACTACCCACTTATTATTTCTACACACTAATTCTTTCATTATTTACAAGTAGTGTGCGGTGACGCATAAAATAAGGCAGGATGAGATTGCCAGTAAGAACTGATTCAGTTTATTCAATATTTCTATTTTCAGCATAGTTCCTATATTTGGATTTCCTATTTAAAGACTATATTATGATTTTATTAACTTTTTAAATGAAATATTGTATTAATAATTTAACTGGTTATGTATTATTTTATGGTTAAGGTTAGAACCATCAGATTGTTTTAAGTTAGTTCTGTAGAGGTTTTTTTAGTGTTTTACAAATATTAGACTTTCAATACAAATTTCATCCTTTTATATGTTGTATTTATAGGTGTTTGTGTGTGAGTGTATATTATTCTATTATTCAAAAGCATATGTATATACTTTTAAATAATAGACATTTATTTATATGTAATACAATAAAAGGAGTATTTTATAGTAAATATATTTTATGCATATATGTAAAGTTATCAATTTACTGACCTTTGTATTCTTCTATATTTTATACTGGTCAAGACTGAAATAATATTGATTTAACACAATATCAATATATGTATAGTTTTCTCTCTCTGTGTGTGTATATGTATGTGTATACAGGAACATACTCCCTGTATGTTCATAATCATAGGATTATAGACATTTTGACTCTTATTTGGTTCAATAATTATAAGATATTATTATTTGAAATTGATTTAACAGTCATCTACATTTTCCCCCACAAAGAAATACAAGAAATCAGCCACATTAAGAGCACTATTTAAGAGTCACAGTGATGAAATTAAATACAGAAGTGCTAACTTGTGTTCATTGACCAAAAGAAAAAAAGTAGAAAAATCCACTTTATAATTTGCCTCAAATAATTTGCTTCTGCCTTATCAGTGTTAAATTAGTCCGTTGGTATTTCAAATGGATAGGGCCCTTAACTATTTCTTTGTTTTGCCTTTGTCAGTACGAATCCCTCTGTTTGTAAAATATTAGGCAAGTTAATATGTAAATAATTCAACCACTGTTCCAATGGAAAACCCTTTAAAGGGCGATAGTAAAGTTTTGTTCCCTCTATAAATCAGTCAAGTCTGTTTGATTACAAACATTTGTAGTTGTTTCATATCACTACAGTGAATCATTTGAGAGCAGAGGTGAAATAAAAACTGCAAATTTAGAAGTCAGTTTAGTATGCAAACACTTCACATTTTACCTTGTCTTTAGAGATACATTGGTCCAACACAAGGTGCTGAGCACTGGGGAATTCTGGAAGAAGAGTCCCGGTTTTGGAGCTTAAAGAATACTTCCGTGTAAAACCACCCTAAAATATATGAAATAACTTTACAAATGCATGGTTATAATATAATGATAATCTTATTGAACTGTTTAGAAATAATCAGATTGCTCAATATCACATACATTCATGCAGTTGAACTCTTTATTATTATTATTCCCTCTGTAAGAATATCAGGCCTTCTCCTGCATTCATCCGAAGATGTTCCTCAGAACAAGAATGCAACAGGAATTTCAGCAGATATGTGACACACATATATATATTGACACCGCTAGGTTTGCAGAGACCTTGGAGAAGTTAATTCAGATTGACCAATTGGGCATTTTTGCTGGATAACCCGACTTCTTTCTTTTCTCCTTCATAATTGAAATGACTTCTTTCTTTTCTCCTTCATAATTGAAATGCAGTTACGATAATTAGAAATGCTTCCAAGAATAAACAGGTCCTATCCATAAACCCTTTCTGCCCTACATTTTTCTATCAGCAACAAAGGCCAGGAAGACAAAAGGAGAGCACAAGAAAAGATACAAAATCTGAAATACATTTTATAACAGTTTCATATATGCTATTTTATCTCCTTTAAGCGTTCTTTTAAAGACTCGTCATCCAGCCTTTAACATCTTCTTCTTATTCTCTGCATTATTCCCATCATATTGCAGGATCGGCAGATCTAGCCTTTAACATTTATGTATAATATTTTAATTGCTCTTTTAATACATAACTTGAAACGATTTAAATAAATGTTTCCATCAAAAGAAATTCTAATGTTTATATGCATTATAATATCAATAAGAGTTGCATAATGGATTCAGCTTTCAAGATGTCATTTTAAAAAAAGAAGAAGAGACGAGAGAAAAGAAGAGCAAGAAATAGAACAGGTATCTGGTTGAGTGCAGAAATGCAAAATCAAGGAGTCAGAAAACAAAACAAACAAACAAAATTCCTACCTACAGTACATTCCCCAATAAGAGAATCCCATTAAAATCTCCATTTAGTTTTTGGGTCCTTAGCAAACATTCCCGTATATGCTTGGGCATTGCCAAGTTTGAGAAGTCCATCAAATGAGATATTTATTTTGGAGATTGAGTCATTTCTGGCTTTCTTGTTTTTAACATATGGAGGCATCCTTCCCTGCCCCCAACAAAGAGGGCGACTCAGATAATAAATGACAGCCTGACTTTAGTTCCTGGAATTCTTACGTAGTACTTTCAAGTCACATGGTAGGGGAGCCACTTTCTAGCTGAACCAAACAATGGAAACAGCAGGGTTTTTTAAAAATTTATACATTTGGCTAGAACTGTGGATACTTTCAGATTTTTCTTTAAAAACATTAGCAAAGAAATGGAATGGAGATTACTGATGGACCTTGGTAAAGATTATCAAACCGAGTTCTGAACAACTTTATTAGGGTGTTTCCCAGGGGTGAAATGCTCCCTGTTCAGACCGGATCATGCGATCCAATAGCGATGGTGGCGGGTGGTTCGGAGAACCGATAGCAAAAATCCCTGCGTCTCCCCCCTCCCCCCATGTCCAGCTGAGCCGTGTGATCATCAGAGGTTGGTTTTTTTACTTTTAAAAGCATTTTTTCTACAACCTCTTCGGCCAAAATGCTTTTAAAAGTTAAAAAAAAAGCCTCTGGTGATCGTGCGGCTCAGCTGGGATCGTCAGAGGCTTTTAAAAGCATTTTTTTCTACAACCTCTTCGGCCGAAGAGATTGTAGGAAAAAAAATGCTTTTAAAAGCCTCTGACAATCCCAGCTGGGTTGCCGGATCGTCAGAGGCTTTTAAAAGTAAATAAATAAATAAAGTTGGCCACGCCCACCCAGTCACATTACCCCCCCACCAAGCCACGCCCACAGAACCGGAAGTAACAAATTTTACATTTCACCACTGGTATTTCCTATTTCAGATCTCATAATTTATACCATTAATCCAAGAAGATAAAAATATGAATAGTGTAAGACAAAGTCATAATTTATTTCATCAAATTATTCTTTACAAGCATATACAGTATCTTGTACATATAGCTTCTGGATTTATTTCAGTTGAACATTATACATATAGGCAATCTCACACCTAACATCGATTTAAAATTGGCACTCTGTCTTTGGATTGTGGCCAGTCTCACAATCCAGAAAATGTTTCAAATTAATAATTTAGGTACACTTCTTTTTTATATTAAAGAAACGAAGATTATCCAAGCTATAACTAGCCCGAACATCAGGCTACTCAAACACAGATAAGGAGCTAATGAACGAAGTGATGTGTAGTTCCCATTGTATGTTGACATAAACATTAGGTCATTTAAAAGCTGTCATGAGTCAATATGGCTTCATTTGAACAATTACCTATTAGTATGTGGTGATTTTTTTTTTAAAAAAAAAGATAAGACCAATCTGAAAATATTATTTTCCAAGTATATGATAAAATACACTCTGGGAAATTAAAGAGATGGAAAATAAAAAAAAAGGGCAGGAGCACTGTGACAGCAAAGCTATAATTAATACATTCACATATAAAGAAGCTCGTGTTTCAGTTACATGTTTGATTCTTTTAACAAGTAACTTCCTTTGAAAACATGATAATGTGAGACTAAGTGGTGATAATACGGTCAGCCCCCTTATTCGCATTGTACCAGGTGGAGCAGTAAGGACATAATTCTTTTGATGGAGTCTGTCAGCATAGTATTTTTCAAAATCAGGGGAATTTTTGTGTTATATTTTTTAATCCTTAGTCTATTGATTAAATATTTCTCTAAAATAGGGGTGTCAAACTCAAGGCCTGTGGGCCGGATTTGGCCCAAGGGGTGCTTAGACCTGGCCAATGGGCTTGCCCTGGAAACAGAAAAGGACTGGCCCACGGAGCCTCTGCCAGTGAAAACGGAGCTCGAGAGGGCTCCGTTTTGGTTGGCAGAGGGCTGCAGGAGGCAGTCACGGCTGAAAATGGAGCCTAAATGAGTGACATTAGCTGGCCATGCCAGTGGTGGGTTGCTACCGGTTCACCCTGAATCGGACGAACCAGTAGCGGCGGTGGCAGGAGGCTCCACCCACCCGCCCGGACACATCTGTGCATGTGCAAAAGCATTGTGTGGGTACGCAAGCATGAGCATGAGCGAACCGGTAACAAACTAGATTGAAACCTGCTACTGGGCCATGCCCACCTTGGCCACCTCCCCAGCCCCCTGAGATCAAACACAACCCTGATGCAGTCCTCAATGAAGTTTGACAATCCCTGCTCTAAAGAAGCTCAAATATTTAATTAATACAAGTAAGGTTAGTTTCATTGGCTTATATTAAAGTATCTTGAGCTTAGATTAAAATATTTTGATCCAGAAGTCATATGTAGACTGCACAGCCATTTTGTGAGCAGTGCAGAGGGCAGCAAATGGGGAACAATCCTTAATTCTTTGGCAAACAAACATAACTCCTGCTCAGACAGCAAACCATTACATGCACCTCCCAACATGAACAGTAGTTATACTTGGGTACTCTATGAATCATAACCATATTTCACAAAAAAGTGAAAAATGGAAGAAATATCTTGATCCTGTACTTTTCCTTTTTATTCTCTCACTCTTTCATTTCTTTCAGAATTTTCAAACTCTAGGTGTTCACACATAGTGGCTGGATTATGGGAGTTGAAATCCAATCCAGTCAGAAAATAGCTGGCTGGAGAAAGTTGCATTTAACCATTCCTACTGGTATCTCTAGTCAGCATGAGTTTCTCTTTGAGCTTTTTTTTTTTTTTTTGCTTTAATTTATATGCCGCCCTTCTCAGGGCGGCTTACAATGCGTTAAGCAGTAGCCTTCATACTTTTGTATATTTATACAAAGTCAGCTTATTGCCCCCACAATCTGGGTCCTCATTTCACCTACCTTTGAAAGGATGGAAGGCTGAGTCAACCTTGAGCCTGGTGAGATTTGAACTTGCAGTAATTGCAAGCAGCAGATGTTAATAACAGTGCTTTAGTCCACTGTACTACAGGCTCTTAAAAGGAGCTTAAAAACTTTCCATCTATATATAGAAGTGGTCTGGATGTATGGACTGTGCAAGTGGGAAAAAGCTAAACACAATGGCAAAGCACTGTTTGGCAAGGGGAAGGACACCGATTCAATCCCATATATCACAAATCAGGGTGAGAAAAAAAAATTGTCTAAATAAACCACTGGTTTCCCTCAGGCAGCTTCCTCAATTATTCTGTTTCTCAATTAACTGTAAACATTTGTGGAACTTTTACAGTTGAATAACCAGAGATTTATGTTTGTCAAGTTTATCTCATCACTGCACATTTAAAACATCAAATAGCAAAGTTGAGGATACTCACCTCATTCTTCAATTTGCTTCCAGAAAACCTTGGAAAACCAAAATGTTTTACTTATATTTCAGAAAAGAATGCTAGATGAATGTTTATTATGATGATAGAACAGCATCAAATACCACATTGTAAGGAACAATAATAAAGGTAAAAATTTTCCTGTCAGTAGTGTTCAATTCCAGAGCATGGTGCTTGTCTCAGTTTCTTGGCTGAAGGAGCCAGTATGGTCCAAAGATAATTTCTGTGGTCATGTGGCCAGCATGGTTATATGCCAAAAGAACACAGAATGCCTTCCCACTTGAAGTGGTACCTATTAATCTACTTGCATTTGCATGCTTTTGAACTGCTAGGTTGGCAGTATCTCTGCAAATATCTATAGGAATAGTTAATTTTTCTAGTAAATCTGGAATCTATAAACACACTTCAAATCTATGTTGGAAATTTGGACAACAAGAATGGTCATGCTGACTAAAAAAGTTTATGGACATTTTGCTTGAAAGAGAAAAATATGACTTTATGGTTTTGATGATTAGACAGGATAGATTATATTTATTTATTAATTTGTTTGTTCAACTTGTATGCCACCTTTCTCCGAAGACTCAAGGCGGCTTACAATGCATTTAAAAACCATATATAAAAACATTAAACATTAAAACATTAAAAACAATTAAAACCCATTCATGGCCGGATCTCGCCAGATCGCAACAGCGAGATCAATGGCCCCAGGCCTGCCAGAAAAGCCAGGTCTTCACCGCTTTTCAGAAGGCCAGTAGGGTGGGGATGGTCCAGATCTCAGGAGGTAACTGGTTCCAGAGAGCTGGGACAGCCACAGAGAAGGCCCTCCCCCACAGGCCCGCCAGCTGGCATTGTTTAGCTGACTTATAGAGAGTCATGTGTGACGTTAGAGAAAGAGCTCAATTTATAATTGCACTTATAACAACTGTAGAGAAGATTGGAAGACACTTCGTTGTACCTTTTGCTTCCTTTTCCATTTTTTTCTTTTACTTTTTCATACTGTCTTGCATTTTTGGCTCTCATTGATTTTTTTCTTTTTTTTTCTTTTTCTTTTTTGTTGCTCCTAATTCTTTATGAGTTTGTATTTGTTTTTACCTTTGTTTTAAATGTTTTAATGCAATTCTTTAGAAAAAAAGGAATAGGTAATTTTAGACAATGAGGTCCCCCCCCATTTTTGAACCTTTAATAAAATCTATTTTGTTTGCAAGATGGCATAATTAGAACTATTAGAAAAAAAAATCTTACAGCATTAGCAGGCTTGTGGCAGAATCAGTTTAATTCAAGCCTAGAAAATAATTCTGTCCTCTGTTTCACAGTTGTAATATGTTGTGGTTTTACTACAGTACATACAACGAAGCATTGGTATGATATTTATCTTTTTAAAAATATACATACATACCAGGGGTGGGTTCTAAAATTTTTTACTACCGGTTCTGTGGGTGTGGCTTATTTTGTGGGCGTGGTTTGATGGTCATGTGACAATTCTTTAGGATTTAGCAGAGGTACTGGTCTACCAGCCTTTTAACTGCTTGCAGAGCTGTACCGGTCTACCCATTTGTTTTTGGAGCGCTCTGGTCTACCACCACACTGCCTTTTAACACTGATCAGCTGTAGGAGGCCCTTTGAAGCCCTGCGGCAAAAGTTTAAACAGTTTTTTTCCTTCTAGCCGATCAGCTGGGACTCGGGAGGCAGCAAATAGATTAGGGGCGGGGCCAAATAAAAGGTAAGAATAACGCAGGGGGTGGGTGGGATGGCCCAGCTCCCGAACAAAGAGAACCGTTTCGGTGACGTCATATCGTCACCGCTACCGGCTCGGCTGAACCGGGCCGAACCGGGAGGAACCCACCACTGATACATACCAAGGATCTGCTTTTTTCCAATGATATTTGGTTGTAAAAGTGATGAGAAGTAAAACCATTTTCATCAGGCAGAAGATGTATGGAAATGTCTATTTTTCTTTATATAGGATGTGCACACTGGTAAGCATCAACCCTTTAATAAGGAAAGCATTGCTATAACCTAATCTTACGAAGATTTGAGAATCTGCACACAAATGGTTTGTTCCAGATCAAATAAGCAAATCAATTTTTTAAATTGCTTCACGTGCTAGTTTCTTGCCTGCAATATGCTGTTTTGCATAGAACATTTTATATCATTATATGCGACTTCAAAAAAGCAGAACCATTTAGTCATCACCAAGTAACAGGCAGTTCATGTGATGAAAATTGAAACGATAAACATTAATGTGAAGACTGGTCGTAACTGATTCATCTTTGTTCATCATCTAACATTTTATTGATTACATTTTTGAAAACTTTTTTTTTTAAAAAACATACCTTGTTAAACCTTTACCAGAATACACAGAATGATAATATGCACTGCTTTCTTTGATGCCAATTCCATAATAGTGATATCTGTAGAGGGGGGAAAAGGGTATTAACAAAGATACATGAATCATGTGCCTGATGGATGGTGCCAAGAGCTCATTTTATTTCGGTTTATATTTGTGTGTGTGCATTGCTCTCTTACCATAAGGAAGGCTGAGCGTCAAAGAATTGAGGCCTTTGAACTATGGTGCTGGAGAAGACTCCTGCAAGTTCCTTGGACTGCAAGGCAATCAAACCAGTCAGTCCTAGAAGAGATCAACCCTGACTGCTCTTTAGAAGGCCAGATCCTGAAGATGAAACTCAAATACTTTGGCCACCTAATGAGAAGGAAGGATGCACTATATATATATATATAAAGATGCACTTCATGTCAATGCATACAGCAACAGATTTATGATGAATTTGGAAAAAAGCAACAGAGCTCGAGGCAGAAAAAGGTAGGCTGGATCTGTTTAATTTGTATTAGCTTGGAAAGAAATAAGAGCAGTGATGCTCATTGTTAGCTTTCTCATTAAAACTTCCAGGAAGAAACCAGCCAGGCTGATTTTTCTCACCCTCCTTTTCCATGTGCACGAACATCTGTCCCTGTGCTGCAAGCAAACCTGACTAGAGCATATGCCAACACAAATGATAGCTGATAAGGCAATGATATGATTAAGCTGCTCAGGGACTTGCAATAACTCGTTATCGCAAGGCCAGCTGCCATATCAGTTTTATTAACCCACTAAATCACTTTTAATAAATAAGATAATGCCTTTCAGAAAAGGTGGAAGGAAGTTAAGATTTAACGTTGATCAAAGTCTACCCCCCCCAAAAAAAAATTAAACTGCAACAGGAATTCACAGTCCCAAGGGGTCTACAGGTAGTCCTTGGTTTACAACAGTTCATTTAGTGATCGTTGGAAATTACAACATCATTGAAAAAAGTGACTTATGACCATTTTTTCACATTTATAACCGTTGCAGCATCCCCATGATTTACATTCAGTTGCTTGACAACTGGTTCATACTTATGATGGCCGTAGTTCTATCCCTGGGTCATTTGATCCCCTTTTGTGACCTTCCGATAAGCAAAGTCAACGGAAAGGCCAAATTCACTTAACAACCATGTTGCTAATTTAACAACTGCAGCGGTTCACTTAACAAATGTGGCAAGAAAAATTGTAAAATGGGGCAAAACTCACAGTAACAAATTTCTCACTTAGCAACATAAACTTTGGGCTCAATGATGGTTGTAAGTCAAGAACTACCCTGTTTCCCCTAAAATAAGACATCCCTTGATAATAAGCCCAATTGGGCTTTTGAGTGCATGCGCTAAAATAAGCCCCCCCAGAAAATAAGCCCTCCCCAAAAATAAGCCCTCCCTGAAAATATTTAAACACATGCACAGCCAGTCCCCGCCATTTCCTCTGGTTAAGGTTAGGGAGACAGAGATGGAAATCAGGTAAGATGGCAAGAGGAGCTCCATCTTGCTCTACGCGCCCCAAGGTAATAAGACATCCCTGAAAATAAGGCCAAGCACTTATTTCGGGGTTCAAAAAATATGACGGGGTCTTATTTTCAGGGAAACATGGTACCTGTATTCTGTGACCCATACACATATTACCTTCAAAGGAAGACCCTGCAATACTGCTGAAGTTAGCTCTCACTCAGACTAAATCTAGGCTGAATTTATTTCTCTCATTAATTCCCACTAAGTTTATATGCATCCAACTGTCCCTGGATTGTCATAATCATTGTATATAATCCTTGCTGACTCCTTTTTCCTTCATTTCAGTTTCATTTTATACACTTGACTTAAACATTATTTGCTGTTCTCTACTGCTGATCTATAATGCTTTTGCATTACTGTTCTACTCATTATAATTCTTTATTTTCTTCTTCACTCTTCTCTTGCCCGAGTCCCTTGTTTTTCTCCTCATACCACACCTTGTTTGCTGCTATGATAGTAAGAACTATGGTAGCAACTAAAGGCAATGGATCTGATAATAGCAATGGATCTGATGATAGCAGTGGCACACTCTACTGAATGTCACCTGTCATCTCTATGAAGGAATTTTCTCTGAAACTCCAGAAAACACTTGACAATAATTTATAACAATTATAGGTTAGAAGAGAGCCAGTTTTTTTTTTACAGTAGTTAAAGCACCAGGCAAAAAAGCAGGAGACCATGATATGATTATTTTGTGTGTTACTTTAAATATTAATGTTATGAAATGTAGTAAATAAAATTAACACAAGTTGTTAAAAACGCTATGAGATTGGTAACTAAATTTTAGTTGCTCCAAGAGCAAATATGTAAGCCAGTTTAGTGTGGTGTTTAGGGCATCAGGCTAGAAACTGAGAAATCATAAATTTTAATCTCACTTTAGATACAAAGCCAGCTGGGTGACCTTTGGCCAGTCACTCTCTCTCAACCCTAGGAAGCGTGCAATGGCAAGCCACTTCTGAAAAACTTTGCCCAGAAAACTGCAGGGACTAATCAAAGCAGTCTCTGAGAATCAAACACAATTGAACAGGGGAAAAAAAACAACAAGATATTTTTGTGGGGAAAAAAATCGGCTGTCCCTGGTGCACAAAAGATAGCCAGCTACAGAATGCAAATGAAAAATCTGGGAAATGCCCTGTCTTCTCAAAGATACAGGAAATGCCAGGCATTCGTTCTGGTTTAACTCAAGTCTCACATCTTCTTCCTTCGGCTCAAAGGAGAATTCCTCCAAGTTAGCAATCATTAAACACACTACCAATGTAATAAATTCCTCTATCATTATAAGGCTTCTATTGTGGGTAGGAAATGAGCACCTTCAGTTCCTGCAGGTATTGTTTGACTCCAATCCCTATCAGCCAAAGTGTATGTACTTTTGGCCTAATCCAACTTGTCTTTCCAAAACCTATTATGCTAGATAGCAAGAGACTAAGGTTCTTGCACTCACTCAGTATCTAAGGTGCCAGTTTCTTAAATGATGAAATTACCTTATTACAATCACAATCACTAATATTCAATAAAGAAATGATGAATAATATCATTATAAATATATATTGTATAAATTATATATTATATAAAATAATAATAATAAAATGGTGCATAAGCGCACCAGTGTGTCTACCGTCCCTGTCCTAATGTTTCCTTTTATATTTCTCCATTTCATGTATTCATAATCATGTTTATACTTATATCTGTTACCTAATGCATGCTTAACGAAATGAATGAATGAACGAATGAATGAATAAATGAATGAGCAAAAATTACACATTCCCTCCTCCCCAGAAAAGTATTCATACACTATCCCTGAAGCGCTCTCTCTCTCTCTCTCTCTCTCTCTCTCTCTCTCTCTCTCTCTCTCTCTCTCTCTCTCTCTCTCTCTCTTTCCTTTCTTCATTTTTTCACTACCCATTTGCTGACAAATGAACTTCATTCTGTATCCATTCAATTCAAACAATTTCATGACCAGGAAATTCACATAAGAATTTCCATCATTTAAAGATGATTTTTTTTTTTCCTCATAAGAAAAGGGGAAGACTACATTGGCAATATTTTAAATAAAAATATACAGCCAGTTTGGTATAGCGGTTAAGGCACTAGGCTAGAAATGGAGAGATTCTGAGTTCTTGTTGTGCCTTAGGCAAAAAGCTGGGTGACCTTGAACCAGTCACTCTCTCTCTGCCCTAGGAAGCAATGGCAAATCTCTTCTGAAATCTTGCCAAGAAAATTGCAAGGACTTGTCCAGGCTGTTGCTAAAGTCAACATTGATTGGAAAGTGCACAATAAACAAACAAAAATATAATGAGAACTTCTCTACAGTACTATGTCATTTGGGGTGCTATTCCATCACCTCATGATCCCTTCCATTGTAACCCAAATATACCTCCCAATTCTCTATAAAGGGTTTTCGGAGATTATAAGGATCTGGAACATGTGGGAAATGGGAAATTATGGTTTTCTGTAAGCAAGTCAATGCAACTTCAGAAGAAACATGGGAATTGCTACACCATGCTATACCCTTTATAGCAGATTTCCACACATCTGGATGTCTTTCAGATATGTCACTTCCTATAATCCTCTAGTTAGCATGGTGTTTGTGTCTCTTGGAGAATTCTGGGAATTGAGATTCAACGAAACATAGACCACTGTCTGTTTGGGATTGGTTACTCTAAAAAGTGTTTTTCAGCTAATAATACATTTGGATTCCATCTACCTCTATCAAGAATGCATGGCTTTGTCTAAATAAGCATGAATTTAAAAAGTGTAGCTCCTAAGAACTTACTTTGAATGGCCTCTTGTACCCAGCCGCCTAGTGGTGAGGAGAGGAAATTTCTGTCGAATTGTCTAAAGAAAAAGTCAAATATTAAACAATTGAAACTGGTAAATTCAAAATGATTTTATTTTTACTTTCTTACAATATCTGTTCTAATTGGCCCTTCTATAAGTAATTAATTTTGTTAAATTCATTTTAATGATCAGGAGCAAAAGAGTATTAAACTTATGAAGTGGAAATTGCAACAAAATATGATCATGCTCCCATCAAAGGTAACAGGTAACAGTAACAGAGTTGGAAGGGACCTTGGAGGTCATCTAGTCCAACCCCCTGCTCACACTGGAGACCTATACCAGGGACCCAATATTATAGAGCAAATGGAATAGCATCTCTTTGGAATAGTATAACCCAACCAGTTATACTATTCCAAGGAGCTGCTATTCCATTTGCTCTATAAAATTAATAGGATATGTTACCATCAAAGCTTATCAAAGGTACATTGTATTAAACAGAAATCCTTCTCTGAAATTCCCTTCCTTAAAAAAACCCCATTGTTCCTCCTCTAATTTCCCACAAAATTATCTTAAAATTCAGTTTTATTAGAATTTGGCTTTATTAAAATGTATTCACGTTGAATTATCATGTCGTGAACTACTATTGGAAGACTGGGGTCTTGAAAAGAGGTAAATGATGGAATGAATAAAAATAGAATGGTGCTTAGAAACTTGCTTAATATCAGAATTCAAGCAATAGTCTGCTGAGCCCTGGTGGCGCAGCAGACTAAAGCACTGTTATTAACATCAGCTGCCTGCAATTACTGCAAGTTCAAATCTCACCAGGCTCAAGGTTGACTCAGCCTTCCATCCTTTCTAAGGTAGGTAAAATGAGGATCTGGATTGTGGGGGCAATAAGCTGACTTTGTATAAATATACAAAAGTATAAAGGCTATTGCTTAACGCATTGTAAGCCGCCCTGAGTCTCCGGAGTCTCCGGAGAAGGGCGGCATATAAATCATCTATCTATCTATCTATCTATCTATCTATCTATCTATCTATCTATCTATATCTTTTTTGTAGGTTTCATGTTATGTCTCTTTAGCCAGGTTCTACCTACGTAAACCAAGATATTATACAGCCCTAGTCCAGTGATTTCATACATACATACATACATACATACATACATACATACATACATACATATTTGCTCTATAAAATTAATAGGATATGTTACCATCAAAGCTTATCAAAGGTACATTGTATTAAACAGAAATCCTTCTCTGAAATTCCTTCCTTAAAAAAACCCCATTGTTCCTCCTCCTAATTTCCCACAAAATTATCTTAAAATTCAGTTTTATTAGAATTTGGCTTTATTAAAATGTATTCACGTTGAATTATCATGTCGTGAACTACTATTGGAAGACTGGGGTCTTGAAAAGAGGTAAATGATGGAATGAATAAAAATAGAATGGTGCTTAGAAACTTGCTTAATATCAGAATTCAAGCAATAGTCTGCTGAGCCCTGGTGGCGCAGCAGACTAAAGCACTGTTATTAACATCAGCTGCCTGCAATTACTGCAAGTTCAAATCTCACCAGGCTCAGGTTGACTCAGCCTTTCATCCTTTCTAAGGTAGGTAAAATGAGGACCCGGCGAGTTCCGGGTATAGTTATAGAAGAGGCGATAGACAGTTTTTAAACTTTTAACGTTTCCGGAGATCGTGATGTCTATCGCCTTTCTATAATACATACATACATAGTACATACATACATACATACATAATACATACATACATATATATTTCTTTTTCGTAGGTTTTATGTATATGTCTCTTTAACCAGGTTCTACCTACGTAAACCAAAATATTTGCTGAACTAGGGCTGCATAATATCTTGGTTTACGTAGGTAGAACCTGGCTAAAGAGACAGACAGACAGACAGACAGACAGACAGACAGAAAGACATACATACATACATACATACATACATACATACATACATACATACATACATACATACATACATACATACATACATACATACATACATACATACATGCCTGTAGAGATATGTTTCTTTTAGTACCAAAGGGTGGATAGACCGACAGCTAGACAGAAATAGCTTTTTGAGTTATACTTCTTTCATTCAACAATGCTATTGTAGAGCTGAAGGATAGTGACCAGTCATGTGGATCAGAATTCAACTGATGAAAAATTTAATAAGAGAACACATCTACATTACAGCTTCATATACATGCTCTGTAGCTCCACCCAAAGAATCTTAGAATAGTGTTTGGAATACAGTTTGATTTGGAAATATCCTTTGATACTGGAAAACTGGAAAAGGAATGACTATCAGTCTAAATGAAACAAGACAACTGATACTGTTACCACAGAGATTTTCAGTGAGATTCCAGGGATTTTTTTTTTCTATAGATATTTCTTGCCTGAACTAGCAAGTCCCACTGTTATGTCATTCGAATGCAAAATCTGCACACCTAAAAATGTATCACTCAGTTCTAAAAACACTCTCATGTTTTTTCTACTACATGAAGAACAAGGGGTCAAATAAGTTTGCCCAATTGATACAAGTGAGGCTTGTAACTCTTTTAATATCATTGATGAAACTACCAGAATAACAGAGTTAGAAGGGACCATGAAGATATTCTAGTTCAAGTCTCAGGAGACCCTATACCAAGGGTGTCAAACTGGATTTCTTTGAGGGCCAAATCAGAATTGTAGTTCTCCTCCATGGGCCAGTGTGGGGGGGAGAGATGAGACGAGATGCATGCCTCCTGCAGCACCCTGCCGGCCAAAATGGGGCACAGGGGGGACACGTCTGGGGGCCCCACACCTCATTTTTGGCCTCCTCGGCCTCCAGCAGCACTCTGTCAGCCAAAAGTGGGCCGCATGGAGGCCTTGCAGCCCATTTTTGATCAGCAGAGGCACTGAAGGCTGGTCCTTTGATATTTCCAGGCTGGCCCCATGGGCCAGATTTAAGCAGTTTGACACCCCTGCCCTATACCATTCCAGACAAGTGGCTGTGCAGTCTCTTCTTAAAAGCCTGAGTGATGGAGCACCCTCAACATCTGAAGGCAAGCCCTTCATACATACATTCATAGTCCAAGGCCCAAAACGGGCATGAGGGGGCGGTGCATCCCCCACCCACAGCCTATTTTTGCTCCCAGTGGGGTGCAGGAGGCCGAGTGCTGCCTGTCACACTCCCTGGCCATGCCCAGCAACTCACGCCCACTGAACAGGTAGTAAAAAAATTTTGAATCCCACCACTGTTCATACCCCCATACATCTATAAAACAATTGCATTTCAATTAGTAACTTTCCCAAAAGCTGTGTGTTCCTTTGGCAAATCGATTTAATAGCTAATTGAGAGAAGCAACTCTGACATTAAATGGAAATGCGATTGTGAACAAGCCTTCCGCCTTGGCCCCTTGGTTTATCTAACCTGATACAGTCTAAAGCCTGGCTTTGAAATTTACTTGCACAGTGAGCATTTGAAGACGAAACAATAGTCTCTGCCTCAACAGATATCATAACCCAGCAATCAACACTAAAACAAATAAGGAGACAGGTAGGGAATAGGAAAAAAAGATAATCCTGCTATTTTCAAAGCTAGAAGAGGGATTTTTTTTAATGTTTATAGTCAGCTGTGTTCTCTTGGTTCTGAGTCATTTAATATCATAGGGAGATGTGAACCCCAAATTTCATTAAACTAATGTGTTTCGGTTTTTTAAGGCAATTGGAAGCAATTGTGGATGTTTGAAAAAGACTGATCTCTGAAGCTGTCTTGGTATTTAGTTTCACCAGCTCCTAGTAATTTGGATTTAATTTGGAAAGGCCACCTCTCATGTTGATTAAATGATTCCAGCTTTTAAGTAGAGTAGATGTTGGGGGAGGAAAATATCTACAATCAGCACTCTTTCCTCACAAAAGTTACATTACTTTCAACTTTGCCAAGCTAATTATTTCCTTTCCAATATCCTACACTCCTTAAAGCAGTGTTTCTCAAGCTTAGCAATTTAAAGATGTGCCTGGAGAATTCTGGGAGTTGAAGTCCACACATGTTCAAATTGCTAAGGTTGAGAAACACTGCCTTAAAGCAACCTGCAAACCTCTTGCTTCCATATTAGAAAATAAATAGAGCCACAAATATCCCCTCAGCAGCAGGATTTAAACTACTCTTAAGATGCATCAGTTGCAGGTTTCCTCAATCCTGTTTTTGCCAAACAAGTCAGAGCTATTAATTATATAAGTCAAGGGGAAATTTTCTTCTAATTTAAGACTAAATAAGGCAAGAAGATCAAATGGGTTAATTACCTTCCCAAATGTTGCAGCACAAGCAGGCTCAAGTTTCTCCTTCCTACAGAAGTCCAGGTAGTGAGTATAAAGGATGCATCGGGGCAAACAAACTCCTTCACAGACAATGTAATTTTCTTCTAACCTGTAGATAAAAAGCAAGCCAAGGATTTTAAAAATGGCTCTTATAGTTTTGCCATATTTTTTCACTGTTACTACCAAGCTTATAATATTTTAGAGAGGTTTTAGCCTTCAAAGTATAAAATATTTTAATTTCCCCCCCCACTACCTATTCTATTCTATTCTATTCTATTCTATTCTATTCTATTCTATTCTATTCTATTCTATTCCATTCCATTCCATTCCATTCCATTCCATTCCATTCTTTAAATTTCTATAGCTGTCTATCTCATTCTAATTGACTGAGCAGTGAACAATATCACAATTAAAACCATTAAAAACCCCAAAAAACTAAGCTCTAGTAACTAAAGAAGTGGTCCTATGAAATTCTTCGTAGGTCCCATTGCAAATGGTAATGTTGACTTACTAATGTATATAATTAATTGAAATTAAGAAAAGCTGTTGCTTGGTCATGTGTGAAAAAAATCATCCTTTACTTTGATTGGGATTGGTAATATTACACATACATACAGAAATGCTTCTTTGAAATTGTCACTTGCTGTGCCCAGGATGGTAGACATACAAGTAGGAAAATGATGTGATAAATCCACAGGATATTTTTTGGGGCTGAATATCAGGTTCAGTGTTAAAACTTGGAGAAAAAAACTAGACTGGAATTTCATTACATCTATAAAAGCAATTATTTTGTTGACCACAAAGTGATTACTGTACATAGTTTTTTTTATTAGTTTCTTTACTAAAAATATAAACATGAGCTTCAGATGAATTAAAGCTGCAGTTATGTAGCTAAATAGATATATTAGCATCAGAACCACCACATTAGCATTCAGCTGTGGCTGGCAATTAATTTTTCCAATTGGCTTTAATAAGTGCTAAGAATTTATGAGTCAACATCTTAACTGCTAATTCCTGCAAATGGTTGGCAACTAGAAAGAGGCAGGTAGAAATATGAGAATTGGTCTCAGATTGGTTTAGACTTGGTTTACTATGACATATACTATCTATTAGCTCAACTTTTACAGAATGCTTGTATATATTTCCTAAATATATACCCTTGTTAAGTACTTCATTATCAGAGATTACTATTGTTATTATGTCACATTTATATCCTGCCTTTCTTCTGTAAGCCCAAGGCACAGTAAACTGGGAGCTCCCTTCCCATCATGGCAACAGTGATAGGAGGACAGACCTGGAGTCACCAAGTGAGCTACAGAATTGAGTGATGACTTGCACCTGGATATTTCTTATTCCAATCTTCTACTTTAGTCACAAGTGTTCACTGGCAGGGGGAAAAAGAGGCAATCCTGATGGTTCAATGGCTGCCACAAGGTAATTTCTCCAGCTCTATAATGAAAGAGGCTTATCATTGCTTTCTGGAATATGTTTCCCACTTCCCAATCAAGTCTACAGCCCGACGGTTTTTTGGCAGCCTTCCATCCAAATGCCAGCCAGCTAAACCTGATTTTGTTTTAGCCTTTTTTGAACTCAGCCAAGGTACAATGTTAAAAATGTATGACTACAATATACTACTCTGAAATTGCCTAGGATTTTATTAAAGGCTATAAGCAATAGTAGACAAAACATTACTTATAACTTCTTGGACCACTCTTGCAGAATTTTGCAAATTCTGTTCTATTCTATTCTATTCTATTCTATTCTATTCTATTCTATTCTATTCTATTCTATTCTATTCTATTCTATTCTATTCCATTCCATTCCATTCCACTCCACTCCACTCCACTCCACTCCATTCCATTCCATTCCATTTATGGCCAAAAAAGCCCAAAAGGAATATTGTTTCTGAAATTTCAACCAAACAGATGAACAGAAAAGTTCAGTTAAATCAATACATTTATAATCTCTTTCCATAAAATATATAATCCAGTTAAGTGAAACTGTAGTGAAATTTTCACAAAAACAGGTTAGATGGCTGAATTACAATAGTAACAATGTATTTTCTCAGATTTATTTTTATAAATCTTGCATTGATAGAGTTTTTCTTGTCTAAAATTATTGGCAGTTGACTTTCGTCCTTGACCACCCACAGGGGATGATGGGGGGAAATGACATTGTGTGACATTTGCAGGCAACCTCATTTTGAGATCATTGTAACTTCTACCAGATGACAAGATTTCCTTTTTCCTGTGACAATACAGAAAAAGCTAACTAGCACACATTGTATAGTAGAAAATAATTTCCCATACATTAAAGCTTCATTGGTTGTTTAGCCTACCATTGCAAAGTGAGTTGTGTCTGCTTCTTTTTGTCCTTCATAATCTGAGTGATTGTTTTCTTTGGAGGCAAATATTTGCTCAGAGATTTTATCTTGTTTTCTTGACTCTCTCCATCCTCATCTTCTGAAGAAATGGGTTCACTTCTGAAATGAATTTCTGTGTGCCAAAACATTTAAAAAGAGAATGTATGTATTTATCTACCTCTCTATCTTGTAGATTAGATTAAATAATGCTATGTAGATAAAATTAAATATATTCAAATGGATTGTTGAGTATTGGATGATATATCTGGGGCAACAGCTGCCAGATTAATCACTGAAAATGTTTAATTCATTTATAACTTTCTCTGATGATGCAAATGGAAATGAAGGCAGTAGGAAAAGTACTTTTTTGTCCATTTGCTTACTGTACAATGATAATCTCATGATTTGCAGACTCCATATGTCTGATAATTTTGGGGTATTTTTAAGTCTGTTTTTCTCATCCAAACATAAAAATCAGGAAAAATGTTATTGAGATTACACTAACAAAAATACTTTACTGAGCAAATCTGATTTGGTACAGGACTCTTTGGCCAATACAGTGTAAGAGATAGGCCATTTGAGAAGGAAAATAAACAAAACAAACATGTATAAGCAGTGGAAGTCCCTTCAAGAAACACTAACATTTTGACTATATGAACCTATTGTAAAATGTGATGCTGCTCCCTCATTCCATATGCCAAAACCCAAATCCAACAGTTTGTTGCATGTTGGCTTTGAGCCTTTAGATATTTAGATGAATAAAGAATTCTGTGTCACTTGGAAAATTACAAACTCCAGCATCAGAAAACATTGCACCATATATCTGCAGGTAGGTAAAGCAGCAGTTAGATAAATACAAGAGGCCTCTGCAAGATCAAAGAGACTTTGGATATTTCCACTTGGAGTATATATGCATGGGGATATATGGAAAGATATATGGATACACAGAAGATAGATGATAGATAGATAGATAGATAGATAGATAGATAGATAGATAGATAGATAGATAGATGATAGATAGATAGAAATAGATAGATAGATAGATAGATAGATAGATAGATAAACAGATAGATAGATAGATAGATAGATAGATAGATAGATGATAGACAGAAATAGATAGATAGATGATAGATAGATAGATAGATAGATAGATAGATAGATAGATAGATAGATAGATAGATGATGGATAGATAGAAATAGATAGATAGATAGATAGATAGATAGATAGATAGATAGATAGATAGATAGATAGATAGATAGATAGATAGATAGATAGATAGATAGATAGATAGATAGATAGAGGTAGATGATAGATAAACATAGATATAGATATGGAAATTGCTTCTTAGGATCAGAGGTGAGAGGCAAAGTGATAACACTCATTTTGTATAACATGAAGAATTCTGAATAACTGAAGGCAAAACTTTTGCATCAAACATTCCATAAACATATATCCACTGGGTACAGAATAATGACATTTCCATCTTTGAATCTGTTGTCCTCAAACAAACTTTGTTTGTTTGTTTGTTTGAGCATCTTTACCCAACCCCTCTTCATCTCAAAGACTGACACAGTGCAAATGCATGTTTTCACTACGACCATATTGGTCCCCTTGTGTCTCTTTTGGGCTGAAATTCTTCCCAGGTGACTTTTCCAATAAATAAGTGACAGGGGAAGCCAACAATGTGTTTATGCTGGTGCCCCTCCCCTTCCCCATGGCTGTCCATGGCTCAACCTGGCATCCTCTTTCAAGATTTGACTGATAATCCATAACAAGCCTTTCCCATCTTGAATCTGCCCATGGCAGAAACATGCCCTGGGAGTATCTTTTTTTCCCACTGTGTCCCTATGATGTTCCTTTCCTCCCGGGCCCAATGAGCAAGGCAGCTTAAATCACTTTAATTGTACCAGTGTCACCTTTTATTCCTATACTGTCCAAAGGCAGCATCCTGGTGGATAAAATTTTTGTCCCCCAATATCTTGGCAGCAAGACTTCACTTACACCATAGGATGTTCTGCCCCCACGAAGATGGGGGGGGCGGGGAGGCCCATAGTAGATGGAAATTCCCCAAGGCCAGCAAGGTGCTTTTCTATCCTATTTACAGGAATCAGGGAATGGAAAGAGGGAAAGTGCCCAAGCGGAAGTCTATCCCGAACTTCCATCAGAAGAGGCGGCTGAACACAGACACCTCTAGGTCCAGCCAGGTGAAGAACCAGGTTCCCCTCAGACCGAAAGTGGCACAGATATTAACCAGGTTGAAGGCAACCGAGATGCCCAGTTGCTTCTCCGCCCAGCTCCGAACCTGTTGGAAAGTCGCCCTCACCTGCCTTGATGCCCGCGCGGAACCCCAGCTCCCCGTCGGGACCTTGCAGTCTGCCGCGCAGCGAATCGACCTCGGACAGCGGCTCTCCGCAGGGCGAAACCTGAAGCAAACCTCTGGAGAGCAGCTCGCCATAGGAGTCCTCCAAGGCTTGGCTGTGCGCAAAGGCGCCGTCGACCCTGGCCGGGTACTTGGCCATCGCCTCTTCAGGACTCGGAGCCTTTCCTGTCCATGGAGCGTCGGGGAAAGGGACCGGGGCGCGGGGGGTGGGTTGCAGTTGGGATCGGGTGATGGGGAGGATCGCTCGGGAGCCAAGAAGAGGGAAGCGCAAGGAAAGGGCGGGGGGGGGGGGGGGGTAAAGATGCGCGATGATGGACGGACAGGTGGCTGAGGCCGGGTTGGAGAGTTGACTCGACGGAGGGAGACGGGCGGTTTTTAAAACGCGCTCGGGCTCCAGTCCTGGACGTGGAGGAGGAGGAGGAGGAGGTCGGTGGCTAGAGTCAACCGCGGGTCGAGATCACTGCGCCACAAGTCCCAGCCGGCCCGGGCACAGCAACAAGCCCTGCCCACCGATTGTCAAGAGCTCAGCCCGGACCGCCCCGCCTCAAGTTTGCTAGAGTAAACTCCGACCCCAGTCCAGTCTCTCCCCCCTCACACACACACACACAAATACACCCAAATGTGGGACGTTCTCTGGAGCTCTTCTTTCCGTTCCCCCTTGGGACTGGAACCGGAACCGCAGAAGAGGGGAGGAAGGCGGGAAAAAACCACCACAAGAGTGCTTCTGAACACGTGCAGAATCTCAGCAGCACGTTGCTGGGGGCCCGAATGTGGTTTTCCACCTATCTGACGAATGTGGCGGATGGCTTTCGAGCCGAAGGTGTGTGTCTGAGGCTTCTTTTGAGCCGCTGGCCTTCAAAGGCCAGAGAGGGAAGAAAAGTATGTGGTGGGCTTAAAACAAGCGCTGGTGGTGCTTTCAACCCCAGTCTGCTACACAGGAACAAAGCCAACTGTGCATACAAGAGGGGAGGAGGGAAAGGGTGGGGTGGGATATGATGGAGAATTTCTTGTGCCATAACTGGCAGCAGTAGATCTTCGGGGTCTTTTGTTGTCAGATCTCTGATTCTAGGGAATTATCAGTCCTTGCGTTGGGAAAACAGTGGTGACATTCATTTATTTTTTTTTACTACCGGTTCTGTGGGCGTGGCTTGGTGGGCGTGGCAGGGGAAGGATACGCCAAAATCCCCATTCCCTCTCCACTCCTGGGGGAAGGATACTGCAGAATCTCCATTCCCACCCCATTCCTGGGAGGAGGATATTGCAAAATCTCCATTCCCACCCCACTCCTCGGAGGAGGATACTGCAAAATCCCCATTTCCTCCCCACTCCTGGGGGAAGGATACTGCAGAATCTCCATTCCCACCCCACTCCTTGGAGGAGGATACTGCAAAATCCCCATTTCCTCCCCATTCCTGGGGGAAGGGTAGTACAGAATCTCCATTCCCACCCCATTCCTGGGGGAAGGATATTGCAAAATCTCCATTCCCTCCCCACTCCTCGGAGGAGAATACTGCAAAATCCCCATTTCCTCCCCACTCCTGGGGGAAGGATACTGCAGAATCTCCATTCCCACCCCATTCCTGGGGGAAGGATACTGCAAAATCTCCATTCCCTCCCCATTCCTGGGGGAAGGATACTGCAAAATCTCCATTCCCACCCCACTCCTGAGGGAAGGATATTGCAAAATCTCCATTCCCTCCCCAATCCTGGGGGAAGGATATTGCAAAATCTCCATTCCCACCCCACTCTGGGACCAGCCAGAGGTGGTACTTGCCGGTTCTCCAAACTACTCAAAATTTCTGCTATCAGTTCTCCAGAACCTGTCAGAACCTGTAGGATTTCACCCCTGGAGACCATTCTTTATTGCTTTTATAGCCCTGTCCATTCCTCACTTCTTATCATGCTTGCTTGCCACCCATGGTAAGAGTAGGGACTGAGAGAAGAGAGAGACTCCATCTCCCTTCTCTTGTTTTGGATGGCAGACAAAGGGAGGTGGGCACAGAAGAAAGGGAAGTGGTCTTCTGACCTTCTTCATTTCCAATATGATCAGTGAACTGGCATCAAAGGAACCCTCCTCTCCCCTTGTGCTCTTTGCCTTGGGGCAAAGGAGAGGATGGGAAGAGGGTCTTATCCATTTACCCGGGAGAGGCAGCTAAAAATGTTCCCTTCATAACAAAGACCACCAGATACATGTCAAGAATACCTACCCAGCTTAAGTAGGTGCTGCAATGCCAAAACCACAGGAAGAAGATGTATGGGGTGGAGGAGGCACAGCTTGACAGGCAAAACAACCCTATGAGAAGGGAAGTGGGGAAAGGAGGGCTTCAGCTATCACAGCATAGGACAAATGTATCTCTTTAGGTACAGCTGGCACCGAAAAAGACTACTTCCCTTCCATCTCTCCCTGCTTCTCCTTCTACCCATGAATTGAGAAGTGAAGGAAGAGAAAGAGTTTCTTTCTTTCTTTTTTTGGCACAGTGGGAAGCCCTCACTCTCCTACTGGCAAAAGGAAGGGGTCCCGGCAATGAGGGGCCAGGAAAAAGGGAGTGGGTGCCCACACCGGCTCCAGGTGGTCCATAGGAGCTTTGCTGGCCCCACCCATATCCTTATTATGATGTGCTTCAAGACTGGATGGAAAAAACTAGAAAATCCCACTCGACAGCTGCAGCAGGAAAGGCGGTTCAGGCTGTCCTCTTGACAGGCTGAGTAGGTTGAACATGACATCATCCAGTCATGTCTTCGAGCTGTATTTGCTGAAGCATCTCTGACCTAGGTCATGTGGAAGAGATTTTTTGGAACAGTTACCTCAGACTGACATTTTCTGACTTGCTGCCAGCCTAATATCCATTCCCCCCCACCCTTGCGGGAAGGGGAAGAAATGACCATATTTAATACCATATTTATCTTGTCTTGGACCATATCATTTTGCTCTACCACTCCTCTTCGTAACCAGGATTATTATCTTCACTTGGCTGGCAATGCAGAAAGCACCACTTTATTTCAAGTAATGTTTTACAATCCACTCATGTCTGTACAACTACATAATTTGTTCCATACTATAATAACTCATTGATAGACAATGTCTTTCTACAAGAATGTAACAGTTACTTCTCCACTGGCATATAGAATCAATGGAAAGTTGTCTTTTGGTACTTTGTACATGTGCCTGTATACATATACACACAGAGATTCCAGTGTTGTTGCCTTTTCTTGTATCTTTTCTTTCATGTACTCTGAGAGTGTATGCACCAAGACAAATTCCTTGTGTGTCCAATCACACTTGGCCAATAAAGAATTCTTTTCTATTCGATTCGATTCGATTCGATTCAATTCTTTTGAATAAATATCCCGAAGCCATTCAAATTATGTTAAAGTTCAACCCCTATCATTTTTTTCACTAGTTGTAACAGAATTGGATACAGGCAGGAATAGAAAAAAAGCTCTGGTTTAGCACCCAGATTCTGCCTCTCTGGAGGTTGTAAATAGAAGGTTTACATTATTAATTTTTTTTTTATTTGATTTATATGCCGCCCTTCTCCAGAGACTCAGGGCGGCTTACAATGCTTTTAAGCAATAGCCTTCATCCTTTTGTATATTTATACAAAGTCAGCTTATTGCCCCCACAAATTGGGTCCTCAATTTACCTACTTTAGAAAGGATGGAAGGCTGAGTCAACCTTGAGCCTGGCGAGATTCGAACTAGCATTAATTGCAGGCAGCTGGATGATAATGACAGGCTATTAGTCTGCTGCGCCACCAGGCTCTTATCAATTAATGGAGTTTATTCCAATAAACAGATACAATTAACCAATTCCCATCCACCCCTGAGCTGGCCAACCTCTCAGGTCTAACTTTGATTATTCATGGTGCTAACGGATGCATTTGTTAATATACTCTGAGAAATGGGGGAATGAAAAAACACCTCATGAATGTCCCTGGTGCATCCTCTGCGGTCTTCGGAGATGGCACATGCTTTCAGAATCTTTTTCTCCCCATTTAGCTCATAGCTTTCCCATCCCATATGACATAGTCTTCTGGATGGGCGCATGCCCTTATCTGATGGGGAATCAGGAATCCAAGAAGAAGGCGGGCTATTTGAAAGGACAGTGAGAAAAGTGGGAGATTTCATCCAATCAGAAGTGGCGGAAGGAAGAACAACATGATACAGGTGCAGAAGAAATATTTTGATGGAGAGAAAAGAAAAATGATAAGGATTCATATGACTGATCCCAGGGAAAGTAAAGAAAGGTAATCTTTGTTTTAGCTGTATGCTCTAGCCCTATCCCTCCTTCCATTCCATTATGGTGAGAAAAAAGGAGGAAACAAAAACAGAAACTTCGCCTATCTTTGCCTTTTTTTTATGACTGTTTGTCCCAGAAATCACAGCATTAAAGCAGAGCCCAGCTATAAGGAGCCAAAACCCAGTGATTCCAAGTCAAACTCAGAGAGTATATAATCCTATTCCTAGCCATAATTAGTAGCAATTTTTAACTTTTTAAGATTTTATTGATTTTCTATTGTTTACATGTTGTTACTGCTTAATAAACATTGTGTTGTCTGGGTTATTTAATTGCTTAACAGTACAGGTTACATTCTTAATCTCCGCCTCTTTTTTCTAACCACTGGTAAAATAAAGTCCATGTTTGATAATATTCTGTGTCTACTATTTGTTTAATCTTCAGTGTAAATCTGTCCATTTCTGCACAGTCTAGTTAGTATCTTCCTAATTCTCTTGTCTCGCGGTGTTTCTTCATTTTTCCAATATTGTGCAAATATAATCCTTGCTGCTATTAAGATATGCAATGTTAAATATATACTTTGCTTATCAAGTTTTTCTGATGTTATACCTAATAAAAATAGTTCAGGTTTAAAATCTACATTTTCCTATCATCTTTTCTAACCACTTATGTATTTTTGCCCAATTTTTTTTTTGCTTTAACACAAGTCCATCACATATATGCCCATTTTTTGGTTACATTTCCAGCATTTGCTAGTCATATTTTTGAACATTTTAGCTAACCTAGCAGGTGGTAAGTGCCATCTATAAAACATTTTATATAGATTTTCTTTATAAGAAGTTGCCATTGTCAATTTATAGTTCCTTTCCCATAAGTTTTGCCATTTGTCTAATTCTATATTATAACCAATGTTTTTTACCCACTTTGTCGTTCTATCTTTTATTGTCTGTCCTCCATTTACCAGTTTAGTAAAAAATTATATATTTTCTTGAGTTTTCATCAGAGTTTTAACAATATCTGATCAAAGACTGTCCTTTACAAAAGCCATACTTTTTCATGTTTTTATCGTATCTAGATTGTATTTGCAATTGAGGCCACCATGATAATATAATGCTCTGGTCTTCAAGCTCTTGCTTAGATTTTAATTTCCCTTCAGTGTCCAAAATATCTTTATATCACACAATTTCTTCAAACTTCATCAGATTTGGGTATGTAAAGGCTTCCATCATTGAGAGCCATTCTGGGATTTTTAAATAAATCTTGGGTTTTATTTTTTCCCATACAGATAATAGTGAGTTTCTTATATAATGATTTGAAAGTATCTGTGGATTTTATTGTTCTCATACCATAAGAAGGTATGCCATACCAGTTGTAACTGCTATACCAGTTTTAAATCATGTCCCTTATACCCAGTGGTGGGATTCAGCCAGTTCGCACCACTTCGGGAGAACCGGTTGTTAACTTTCTGAGCAGTTTGGCAAACTGGTTGTTGGAAAAAATCATTAGGGCAGAGAACCGGTTGTTAAATTACTTGAATCCCACCACTGCTTATACCTGAGGGTTATCCATTCTTTTAGCCATGTTATCACACATGGTTGGTAATATAAAAGCCAATCTGGTTATCAAAATCCTCCATTCTCTTTAGATTCTTGTAGCATTTTCAATTTAATTCTCGCTTATTTTCCTTGCAGATAAATTTCAAGATCAATTTATTCAAGTCATCAGTGAATTTCTTTTCAATTTTTATAGGTGCTGTTCGGAACAGGAAAAGCAATTTTGGTAGGATGTTCATTTTTACAGAAGCAATCCTTCCAAACATTGATAGCTGGAGATTTTTTTCCATTTTTCCAAATCTACTGGTAATTTTAGTTGCTTGAATAATTTTATGTAGTTGTCTTCTTTTATTGTTGAACATCTTGCTGTTAGGTATATTCCCAAATATTTAACTTTCTTAACTATTTGCAAGTCCACTTTTTCTGCCAATTGTTCTTTTTGTTTTTGTGTAAGGTTTTTTATTATAACTTTAATTTTTTCTCTATTTATTTTCAATCCTGCTACCTCTCCAAAGTCCTCAATCTTTTTTAATGGTTTAGGAATTGTCTCCATTGGTTCTTCTACAATAAATATCAAATCATCTGCAAATGCTTGTAATTTATATCTCTCCTCTCTCATCTCCATTCCTTTAATTTCTGGATCTTGTCTAATACTCCTATTCAAGACTTTCAAAGTCAATATAAATAGTAAGGGCGATAGCTGACATCCTTGTCCTGTTCTTTCCTTTGTATTGAAATTTTCTGTGTAGTCCCCATTTATAATTACTTTAGTTGTTTGTTTATAATATATCGCCTTAATTACATTTATAAAATTTTCTCCAAAATCCATACAATTTAGTTGATGTGTCATAAATTGCCAGCTCACATTATCAAATTAGCCATTTCTAACTTGAATTCCCCAAATACGACTAGTCCCTGTATTAAAAGATGCTGAATTAGTACTACTTCTTATTAAAGCTATTGCCACTGCCTATGTTGTGACAGCGAATTAGATAAGTTAATGATAATGGCAGATGATCTCTGCCAATTAAATGACAGTAATTGGTTTATGAGAGATTAAATGATTCTATTTGCTTTCTTGTTTAGTTGAAAATATTGATCTGGCAGGTATTATAGACTTGTCTGAGAGAGGATAGGAAGTCAACCTCTCCTACCTCTATCTGCTGAGATACTCTGTGATCAGCTTAGAACTGGAAGATGGTGAGGTGGTATGGCTGGATTCCATAGGAACCTGTATCACTCCCTGATGTTCTATCCCATTATCTACCAATTCTGTTTGGTAGATAATGTATTTGCTGCTGCTTCTGGGGTAGTTAAGGATATTATTAGTATACTCTTCAAGCCATTGTGCAACACTTTCTTCCTCAACTAGCCTGTGAAAAGAACTTTTTTTTTTTTTAGCTTTTTCTAGCTCCATTATAAGGAATGGGCCACTCAGTTTTAGCCTGGCACCTCCTTGAAACCTCTGGAGGGGTGGAGGACTAGTTAATATGGTCCAAGCCTAGTGCCTGATGGATCCAGATAGTTTTCTGAATGCACATAGGGAATTTGTTGTCCTGTTCATTCTCTTGGTGGCTTTTCAGCCTCATCTAGTATGGTGGGCCTCTTGGTATCCTTCTTGGGCAGGGGTGTCAAACTCGATTTTATTGAGAGCCACATCAGGGTGTGTTTGACCTCGGGGAGGCATGTGGCGTGTGGCCAGGGAGCATGGCCAACTCGGCATCACTCAGTGAGGCTCCGTTTTCATCTGTGACGGCCTCCTGCAGCCCTCTGCCAGTAAAACAGAGCTTGGGTGGGCTGCGTGCAGCTCTCCAGAGCTCTGTTTTCATGGCAGAGGGCTGAAGGAGGCTGTCACAGCCAAAAATGGAGCCTGGGGGGCCCGAATGTGGCCCTCCCGAGCTCTGTTTTTGTTGGCAGAGGGCTGCAGGAGACTGTTGTGGCCAAAAACGGAGCTCAGGAGGCCCGTATGTGGTCTTCCGAACTCCATTTTCACTGGCAGAGACACCGCGGGTTGGTCCTTCTCTGTTTCCAGGGCGGCCCCACAGGCCAGATCTAAGCATCCTGTGGGCTAGATCTGGCCTGCAGGCCTTAAGTTTGACACCCCTGTTCTTGGGTATCTTGCATGGAAGCATTGTTTTGCAGAAGGATTAGAAAGTGGTACTTGGTAACAGCAAGGTTATTGTTTAATTTGTTAATTTACATTTATTTATAAGAATCAGGTACTACATCAGTCTCATAGCTCTAAGTGGTTACAACAGTTCTGCCCACTGCCCCAGATGTTGTCATCAGTGATCTGCGCGTGCGCAGAAGCTTCTGGACATGCGCAGAAGCAAGGCGCGCACACGAGCGAAGCATCTGCACATGCATGATCCCATTGTGAACCGGTAGTAAAGGTAAGTAGAACCCACCCCTGATTCAAAGTTACAACAGCACTGAAAAAAGTGACTTATGGCCATTTTTCACACTTGCAACCATTGCAGCATCCCCATGGTCATGTGATCAAAATTCAGACATCTGGCAACTGTCTCATATTTATGACAGTTGCAGTATCCCAAAGTCATGTGATCACCTTTACGACCTGCTGACAAGCAAAATCAATGGGGAAAGCAGGTTTACTTAACTAACTAAACAACTGCAATGGCTCACTTAACAACTGTGGCAAAAAAGGTCATAAAATGGGGCAAAATTCACTTTAACGATTGCCTCACTTAGCAACAGAGATTTTGGGCTCAATTGTGGTCATAAATTGGGGACTATTTGTACAAGATCCCCTCCTTTCATAGATAAGTTTGGGACAACAATACATACACTAAGGAAGTGGAGTTTTCATTGTGACGGAATAATGTTACTTTGATCAATCCCCCTCCCCTGCCAATCCCTTTCAAAACCCAACTCTATAGCTCTCTTCTTCTAATTCCAAAGCAGCATTCTATATTCTTGAATATTTCTGAATCTTGATATTGGGATGCTGCCGTGTAAAAGATTAGATCCTTGTTTGTTGCACAAGTATTGCCTATGTCGATTTGTAGAAACTCTTGAGGTTTCAGACAGAATCTTTTCTAGGGAATTAAATAATTAATTAAAATTGAATTTTAATTAGAATTTAATTTTAATTATTTAATTAAAATAGAATTAAAATTGGCTTTTCTATATGCAAACCAAGACTCTTTTCGTGAATTGTATCTCTTGCTTCAGGTTAGAAACAATCAACATTGTAAGCATGCCAAAGAGAGTGGTAATAGAGCCTCTGGAGTATGTATTTTGCAAGGAATGAGAATACTTGGCCAGCATTTGGATTCCTCAGTTTACTTCTGTGTTGTAGCTAACATAATAACATTTTTTACTCAAATGTTAGACTGCATCAAGGTTGTTGAGATTATATGTTTCTCCTAAGATTACAAATTTTGTGTCTGGCTGCAATTTAAAACCGATATGATACCGTAGTAAAATATACAATTTCTAGCATTTTTGATGGCAAGTCTGCCAAAATAGATACCGTAGAAATGATTTTGGGGAAAAATGTATAATAAGTCTATTTCCCATTTTTCAGTGTGTAAATCTAGGTACTTCCTAGATTTAAGGAAGTTTATTTCTTGGATTAAAATCCAAGAAACAAACAAGCAAAAAAAAAAAATAGAATGATGCAATTTATACTGATTTTTAATATTCCTGATGGGGGGAGACAAATAGCATCACTGTCCTTCTGAGATAATTACAGCAATTTTGCTGGTAGCATATGTTTGTTTGACATGTCTCGGTTGCTTCTTTCCAATTCAGTGAAATGTTGGAAAGAAATAATATGAAGGGCCTTTTTGTCTATGTCTGTTTATCTGTCAGTAAGATAATCACCTGAAAACCAAATTTAGTAAATTTAGTATGAGAGAGAAACTAGTAAACTGTGAGTTCTAGTCCTGTTTTAGGCATGAAAGCCAGCTGGGTGATTTTGGACCAATCACTGTCTCTCAGCCCAATCCACGTCACAGGATTGTTGTTATGGAGAAAATAGGAAGAGGAAGGAATATAAGGTTTGCATAGGAGTATTATTTTTATAGAGTATTATAAAGGACTATAATAAAGGTGGAAGAAAAAACTCTAGAAAAAGAAAGGTTCATTTTAAAAACAGAGCAGATCTGAACAAGAGGGGGATTACATGGACCAAAATGTTTTATTTTTATTTATTTGTTTATTTGTGTCCCATCTTATATTATTTTTACAAATAATTCAAGGTCGTGAACATATCCAACACACTTTCCTCCTCCTCGTTTCCTCACAACAACAACCCTGTGAGTTGGGCTGAGAGAAAATGGCTGGCTCTAAGTCACGCAGCTGGCTTTCATAACTAAAGCGAGACTAGAGCTGACCATCTCTTGTTTTTTTTTTAGCCTGATGCTTTAATGGATCAGATGTGGATTTTTTTAAAAAAATCCAAAAACAAAACAAATCAATACATTTCTATGGGAGAGATCATCAACTGCTCTCTTCTTAGGTCCCACTTCATCCTAGTCACATGACCCAGAAAGAGCTACTGTATTTAAATGAAAATTGGGAATCGGAGGATTTTTATATATTGTATGTGGTGGCAAGGGAATGTGATTTCCTTGAGGATGCCCATTAATATATCAATTTTGGGACTAGGATGCTAATATTTCTCTGACTCATTTGTGTCATAGTGCTGTTGTGAGATAAAATTGAAAGGTTGTTATGAGGATAACATTGGAAGAGCTCCTGGAAGTAAAACTGTCTATAAAATTCCACTCTACCGCAATTATGTTAGTAGTGAAAGGCAGGTCAAAGAAACAGTGCCTTTGGAAGAGAGGTTCCCTCTATTAGAATAGCGATTCAATGAAGCCATAATTATGATTGACAACAATCTGCTTCTCAAGTCACAAGATGCCTGAATGGGGGTGGGGTGGAGGATAGGGCTGATTTCTCTGGTCATATCTGGTAACTGTCACATTTAAAAATCACAAGAATAGAAGTTTAGGTTTTGTAGATTTCAGAGTTTTTTGTATTTCACCCTACATCTGCTTAGCTCCTGAGCATCAAGTATCCGGAAATGAAGCCAACTGAAGAAACCCCATTCTGGATTTTAATTTCTTCCACTTTGACCATGATAATGGTCTGTTTTTCTTTCCAGGCTTCATTTAGCATAGTCTTTTATTGGTGGATTTCCCTTCTTGGACTCTTGTTCCCATTTTTGACACTACTAATGATAAAATCTGATGTCTACAAAGATTTTGCCCGTCTGGCAGGCTGTGCAAGATTTTATTAATCCCTATGTGCATATTAAACAACAATGAACATTTGTATATCATTTAGAATCTATTTGAAGATATCCTTGCTGTGATTATGGACATTTTTAGAGATCAAACCCCCCTCCAAAAAGCCAAGAATCCCTGCTTGTTTCCACCTGTGCTAGGAAAACAGCACCAAGTGGGGGGTTGGGGACATATGTTTTTTACTAATAGACTTTTTGTATGACTGCCATACCTGACAGCTTCCCATCTGTTGCATTCACTGGAGAAAAGGTGGGTGGGTGGGAGGAAGGAAAGAAAGGAAGGAAGGAAGGAAGGAAGGGAGGGAGGGAGGGAGGAAAGAAGGAAGGGAGGGAGGAAGGATCTCAATCTTTGACTGTTCTGCCAGTTGACTTGATTGTAAAGTAGTCCATTTCACCATTCCACTAATAGCTTCCCATCTGTTGCATTCACTGGAGAAAAGGTAGGTGTGTGGGTGTATGGGTGTATGGGTGTATGGGTGGGAAGGAAGGAAAGAAGGAGGGAAGGAAGGAAGGAAGGAAGGAAGGATCTCAACCTTTCACTGTTCTGCCAGTTGACTTGATTATAAAGTAGTCCATTTCACCATTCCACTAATGAATTTATTAACTGTTCTTGGTTACTCCCAAGGAGATCAGGTGGAGGGATTACAGATTGGATCCAGAAGGTGGTCAACACCTCATTGTAGGACAAACTGATACCAATAATTTTGAAGGGGAAGGTGCCTATAATTCATTCATTCTCTCCCCCCATCTCTCTTTCTCTCTCTCTTCCCCTCCCTCCCTACCCCTCTTAACATGAAGCTGGAAAAATTGGACCCATTCCATCTGTAATTCAGATAGGGCAAGGAACAAAGGCAGCATTGATCACTCTGATTGTAAATAATGTAGATGTAAATGTAAATGTAAATAATCTGAATGACCTAAACATGCTCATCCTAGGCCTTTTGGACTTCTCAGTGGCTTTCAATTTATCTTTTTGGCCACTTGGTGATAGCTGGAGTTAGAAGTGCTATTTTGCTAAAGTCCCACTCCTTCTTTGGTAGGCAATCCCAGCAGTGATAATGAGAGAGGAGGGACCAGCAAAGCAACTCCTCCTTTGTGGGGTCCTGCAGGAATCAGTCCTTTCTTCCCTGTTCTTTAATATGTACAGTAAAATGAAAAAGGTCATCTGAGGGTTTGTGGTTCCATATCATCCATATGCTAATGATACCTAATTGTATACAGAATTTGAGGTCACATGAGATATGCAACTAAGGTATTTAGACAGTGTTTGGAAACTGTGGGGATCTCATGAAACACCCTCCTCGCTATCGATAGGTATGTCTACTCTAGCCTATTGAAGTGAAGGATTAGGAAAGACATGATAGCTATCTTCCAATATTTGAGGTGCAATCACAGAGAGAAGGTCAACCCTTTGGAGAACTTATTTTCCAAAGCACCAGAGAGTAGGACAAGACGTAATGGGTGGAAGCTTGTTAAAGAGACATCTAATCTAGATCAAAGGAGAAATTTCCCCGCAGTGAGAACAATTAATCAATGGGATAACTTGCCTCCTGGAGTTGAGGGTGCTCCATAGCTGGAGGTTTTCAAGAATAGACTGGACAACAATTTGACTGGGATGGTATAAGCATAAGATCTCCTATCTTGAGTATGATGACCTCTAAGGTTCCTTCCAACCCTATGATTATATGTTCTATGACTCTTAGCAAGTTGGAGTTACACTTTGTTCATTGTGGTTTCTTATACTCCCAGTTATATCTTTTGATGGAAACGGATTCATAATTTGGAGGTCCTGCTGGGTCGTAGATAGATGGGCATCACCACTCATTTGGATCACGGCAGTGTGTTCTACATGATGCTTCCTTTGGAGATTACCCAGATAATTCACTTATCCAGAATGCAGCAACTTGACTGTTGGCAGATGCTTGCCATTATAAGTATTGAGACAACAATGCTCCAGGCTGTGGCTGTGGCACTTCCACTTCTAATTTAAAGTGCTAGTTTTGATCTTTAAAGTTCTACATGGCTTGGTGTAGGGGCATCTCCAGGACCATCTCCTCTACCACATCTTGCGGAATTATTGAATGGATGACTTCCTTTCTGAAGGAAAATACCACCAGCAGATGGCAATGTTTAATAAAGTATGTCTTCATTTGTCATAACTGGCATGATTTTTCTCCCTGAAAGAAAAAATTAAAAGGAAACTTTTAATAATTATAAATGCACTTTCTAAAGTCTCTAGAGTAAATCAAAATAAATGTTAAGGTTTTACCAACAAAAGCATTTATATGTGGAAGTGATATCTTTATGTACATTTCTGTGAAATCTACTTGGTTTTCAGGGACAACAAAGTCTATAATCATATACTTATATAAATGCTATATAATTTTATGTTTTTGTTCCTTCTGCCACTCAAAATACTTCCTATGTAATCCAAATAACAATTATATTTAGTGGATATAAGAATTTCTAGATAATGTAATAAAAATCAGATGTATTTGCATCCTAATTTACTTTTATTAAGACAGAAATATCCTTAGCTTCATTTAATTGTAAGATTAGAGATATGTTCACTTCTCAGGGAAAGAAACCCAAATAGTTTACTTCTGATTTATATCTTCATTAATTGTTATCATCTTGAAACTGTGGTTCACATCATTGATAGTATATCAAATGTTATGTGATATTTATAATTACGTAACAATATGTAACTTGAACTATGATGATAACTATGATATATGACTTGAACTTTAATTTTAAGAGGAGAGATAATAAAAAATATTATAAGAGGAGACCAAATGCTGTTTTCCAGGGGTGAAACCAACAGGCTCTGACAGGTTCTGGAGAACCAGTAGCAGAAACTTTGAGCAGTTCAGAGAACCGGCAGCGGAAATTTTGAGTAGTTTGGAAAACCAGCAAATACAACCTCTGGCTGGCTTCAGAGTGGGGTGGGAATGGAGATTTTGAAATATCTTTCCCCCAGGAGTGGGGTGCGAATGGAGATTTTGCAGTATCCTTCCCCTGCCACGCCCACCAAGCCACACCCACAGAACCAGTAATAGAAAAATTTGGATTTCACCACTGCTATTTTCTGAATCTTTTAAAATTGAAAATCCTTTAAATGATTAGCCAACATTAATATCAAATATTGAGGTAATGAATTTAAATCAATTGAGAGCCAGTTTGGCCTAGTGATTAAGGCATCAAGCTAGAAACCAGGAGACTGTGGGCTCTAATCCCATTTTAGGCATGAAAGCCGGCTGGGTGACTTTGGGCCAGTTACTCTCTCTCAGCTCACCTCACCTCACAGGATTTTTGTTGAGGGGAAAATAGGAGGAGGAAGGAGTATTGGGTATGTTCACTGCCTTGAATTATTTATAAAAATATTAAAGGCAGGACTTAAAAATCTAAAAAAAAATTCTGCCCTTTCAGAGAAAACACATTGAACATCAAGGATACTATCTGGCAGGAGATAAAATATCAGATTATTGAAATGTTGGATTATGTAGTTCACTATATCATCATCAAAAGCTTTTGAGCTCAGCAGAGATCACTTTTAGGGAAGAAATGGTGAACTGAAGGCTCAGTGAAAAGCAGGGCTAATGACTGTGATGGAATAAAGAGCCAGTGAGTAGACTGGCTCTTCATAATTCCTCTCTGGACAAGGAGAAGATTTGAAATCAGCCATAAGGGCTCCAGACAATTGTTCCTCATGAGAAGACTGCAAAACGGGGGAGGGGGAGGAATGGCCATCTTGCTCAAACCACAATCAGTGCCTCTGAAACATTAACTTATCAATCACCGGGATGGAATCCATAGGTGGATTTTTGTCTTTGTTTTAAATATATATGTTTAAAACAATCAGCCTTTGAATCACCCTGGGATCTTTCTAAAATTCACCATAATGCCTTTTGCCCACTTGGATGTTACCTCCTCCCACCCCCCCCAAAAAAAATGGGAAAAGAGAAGAGAAAAAGTAAATTGTCTTATTTATGCATATAAGTGCTAAGGTAATGATTATTTAAAGAAAAATAAAATCCATGTCAACAATAGTTGGCAGGGCTGTGACCAGTTGATTTGTATGCATGCTTGATCTAAGATCCAGTTGCTAACCATAGATGATAAATTCAAGGCCTTACTTCCTATGTTCCTTTACTTTAAAAAAAAATCTTGCCTTGGCCAGGCCTTTCAAGTATGACTCATGCTCACTTTGGTGTATGCTGGAGAGGTGACATTCATCTGAAATACTGAAAAACAGATCTGAAAAGAAGTGTTCTTACAAATGTGATTTGTATGACAAAGTAATGTTATGTTACTAAAATAAAACCTTATCCAAAATGTGATAAATTTCTTCCTTGTTGGCATAAGGGAGCTGTCTATTGCTACAGACTGATTTTAAAAAATGCTTCTATGAACTATCTACTAAGGAAATGGCTTGCCTTGATTTTATGCTCTTGATGAAAGAAGTTGTGGCTTCATTTATAGTTAATTGTGTTTGCTGCAATTAAGTCCTGCCACAAACAGCTTGTATAACAGGAATGGAGTGAAGAAAGTAATGGGCTGATACAATAGCAAAGTAGATAAGAAAGCAGAAGTTGAAGCAATCTGTGAAAAGGAATAAGAAGATTCTCCATATATAGTTCACTAATCATGACTGTATACAAGGGAAATGTTGATCAAATTACTGGTTATTGATCAATTGGTGGTATTAGAGCCACAAGTGTCAGGTTATTTGAGGGACAGTCTTTTCCCAGTCACATCTACCCAACCTACCAGAGTAGGGAGACAAGGAATGTTGTGGGGCCCCCCTCTCCTGAGGAGCTACCAAGAAGAAGGGACTTCTATATTGTAGCTCCCTCCTGTGGAACATTATCTCTGCAGAAATAAGATTGACCCCCACTTTGATACTCTTTTTCAAGGCCCTGAACCCCTGGTTTTGTCAATGGGCCTGAGGAACCCAGAGTGAAATAGAGTCCATCAACTGCCTTATTTGACTGATTATGGTCAGTGGAAGTGGGGTGGGGTATTATTGCTTTTTATTGTTTTTTTTTATATGAGATTTTTTTTATCTTTATAAGCCACCCAGAATCACTGAAAGTGAATTGGATAGCCATATAAATTTTCTTAAATAAATAAATAAGCGGTTCAAATGCCCTTTTATTTTCCTTTTATCTATTATCTCCTTTTTAAGAGCCTTCTCCAATCTATTATAGAGTGGTCCAACAACTGATAACCCCAGCATGTTTTACCACTGTTTTAGAATAGTTATTTGGCTGTTGTTTGCAATGTAGTAAGTATGCAGTCCGTCATCACATTGGGGAGAATACTACAGGGGCAGCAACATCATTGACCATTGCTTAAAAAGAATGTAGTAATTGTCAGAAGCAGAGATAGGTTTGTCAAAAACACATCTTGCTAGACAAATTTTAACTCATTTTGATGGTTCACTTCTTTGTAAATAGTGGGAATGTTGTAGATATATTTTGATTTTATCATAATTTTAATAAAGTATTCTAAGACATTCTGATTAATATATTAGTTAAGTGTGGACTGATTAGCATGACAATTAAGTGTATACTTATTTGACTCATTCTTAAACACTGTTTGTTAATAGTTCCTCATCAAATTGATACATTGAGTGGGGTAACAGAATTCCCCCCCCCCTCGGCCTGTTCTCATCAACATATTCCTTGGATGAAGAAGTAAAGACAACACTTTTCAGATTTTTCTACAACAAAACACTGAATGAGAGAGCTAAGACAGAAGTAAAATTCAAGGTGATCTTTGGTTAGAGTAACCTTTTTCAGTCATTTTACCCTGAAGTAACTGAAGATGAAACTCAAATACTTTGGCCATCTAATGAGAAGGAAGGACTCACTGGAGAAGAACCTAATGCTGGGAAAGATAGAGGGCAAAAGAAGAACGGGACAACAGAGAATGAGGAGTCACTGAAGCAGTAGACGTGATCTTAAATGGACTCCAGAGGATGGTAGAGGACAGGAAGGCCTGGAGGAACATTGTCCATGGGATCGTGATGGGTCGGACATGACTTCGCAACTAACAACAACAATTTTCAGGTTTCAGGGAATCACTGCATAAAATCACAAAAAGTGCAGTACAATACAATATAAGCCATGTTTTATAATGTTTACAACAGCAAAGCAGCAGGTTAGCAGCTGAGTTGCAGCACATAAAAATTCTCACCATTGCAAGTGCTAGTATTATACAGTGTGTCAAAAAAAAATATTAAACAATGTTTTTCAATTGCTATCTCTTGTGGAACCCCTAGCAATCTTTCACAGAACCCCAGCTGAGACAGAATGGTTAGAGAATGGGATGAAATTAACATAATGCAAATTAACACAGACATATGCAATGTTCTGCACTTAGAATTAAAAATTGAAAACACCAGGAGATGTGAAAATGATCTCAGAACAGTTTTGACTGAAAGTGGATATGAGTTGGTAGTGACTACATGAAAAGCAAGTGTTGTCTTCACTTTCATTATGTAATAATTTAATTTTATTCTATTTTGGTGAGAGCTTATTTATCCCTTACATTAGGGACTGTACCCAATGCTGAGCATCACACTTCAAGAAGGATTCAGAGACCCTGGAACAGGTTCAGAAAAGAACATCTACAATGATCAGTAGACTGGAAATTAATAGCAATAGCAATAGCACTTAGACTTATATACCACTTCACAGTGCTTACAGCTCCTCTGTAAAGTCTAAGCAGTTTACAGTGTCAGCATATTTCCCCCAACAATCTGGGTCCTCATTTTACCAACCTTGGAAGGATGGAAGGCTGAGTCAATCTTGAGCCGCTCAGAATTGAACTCCTGGAATGAGCAGTGAATTAGCTCTGCAGTACTGCATTCTAACAACCATGCCACCATGGCTCACTCTATAAAGAAAGATGAAAGATGCCAAACATGTATGGCCTTGAGAATAAAAAGGGAGGATATGATAGCATTCCTCAGATTACAAAAATAATGTTACATAAAAGAAAGTCAAGTCCTATCCTTAACTTTTTGGCATTCAGGATACATAATAGTGCATCGAATGTAAGTTCCAGGAAAGCAAATTCTAGCTGAATGTTTGGAAGAACTTTCTAGCAGTTAAGACCAATTGACAATTACTTACAGAGATGGTGACCTCAA